CATAGTGTATTATTGCACAACCTCCCTGTTTTGTGCAAGACAAACTATTCATGAATACTCACATGTGTGTAACGTCAGATGCGCACAGCTTGAGAAACATGATATATTCCTTCCCATGTTGTCAGTAGGTCAAAGAAGTGTGTATGCGTGTAAGGGTTTATCCACTAAACAGTGAATAGTAGCGGCAAAATAGCGAACGAAGACCTTGATTTAATATTTTTGAATAATCTTTTCAAATGACTTAATATTTTTGGATAAACTTTTAAAATTATTTTTTCCCAAAATATTAAAATATCAAAACAAGTCATTTGTAAAAATATATAAAAAATATCCCAATATTAAAATATTGCTCAAACTATGAAACTATTTAAAAGTCTAAAATGCCCAAATTAGTTATCATTCTTCAAGTGTTTAATGAATTGATACATACATTCATTCTGATGCTTCAATCAGTCTGTAGTTCCTAAAAATACACTGTACAGAATTGTGTCATATTTTCATTTATTTATTTATTTATTTATTCATTTATAGTATAAGTAAGTGCTCCATGACATTTGACACGTGTACTGTCATGGGTTTTACAAATACTTTGGCAAATTTTTGAACATTTTGCCTAAATTACTGAGTGTATCCAGTCACTTTGCAGTAAATATTACATGGAATCTTCCCAGTGGTGCTGTAATCAATGTAGTATTTTTCAGTTTCCACTGTCAAAAAGCTGTAATTTATTTGTTAAAGGACCACTATAGGCACCCAGACCACTTCAGCTTAATGAAGTGGTCTGGGTGCCAGGTCCATCTAGGATTAACCCTGCCTGCTGTAAACATAGCAGTTTCAGTGCTTCTGCACTTCTCACTGTGATTTTAACAGTGAAAAGACGCCAGCGTCCATAGAAAGCATGGAGAAGGACGACCGAAGGAGGAGGAGAGTCCCCAGCGCCGACAAATATGTCCCCTAATAGCCCCGATCTGGGTGACCAACATATTCAAATTTCACCCAGATCGGTTCAGGGGTTCTCAAAAAAGGTGGAAGTCTTCTGTGACCGGCTAACCGTGGGCTGGCTGCCCAAAATAGTTCCATGAGTTTGGGTGGTTTTGCCGGTCACTTCAGTAAAGGGGAAAAAACGAATAAAATACCGAATGGATCCCCCTGGCTCTCAGCAGCGATTGTTCCCCTCTGTCAAATGCACAAAAGTACCGAATAGCGCTCTTCTAGCTATTCGGGAAATGTAGTTCCAGTGTTCGTCTGTTGGAGACCGGTGTTCGGGAAGTCGAGTGTCCAATTTTAGTTCCAGACACTAGACGACCAAGTCCCGTTGCCTTTGTTTGGCTGAAAAAAATGGCCGCGGTTTTCTCAGCCACGTGGCGTTCGGTAGTACGAACGCTGGCCGCACAGATAGAGGGGTTAATTGACGAATCCTTTGAAGCTGAATGAGCCAGGAGGATGGTCTTTGTTCGGTAGTTAGATCTACCGAATGAATAAAGGTGAACTAAGGTGAATAAATAGGGATTTCTTCACAGTGCATATGTCCTTGCACTCAGACCAACCCAGTAAATTTGAAAGCCGGGTGCTCTTTAAGCCATAGCCATCAAAAATAAACTACTGAAAAAAAGGCTTGCACTCACGGTCTTGTAATATTAAATGAAGTTTTCTTTATTCTCAATTATTCCATAAAATCATCATATCAACGCTTCAGCCCTCGTCCGGGGCTTTCTTCAGATTGAATTGACAACCTTTCTTCAGGATGAATTGACAACGTTGATATGATGATTTTATGGAATAATTCAGAATAAAGAAAACTTAATTTAATATTACAAGACCGTGAGTGCAAGCCTTTTTTTCAGTAGTTTATATTATATATATATATATATATAAATATGTATATTTATCACATTGGGAACTTAATTTGTTTAACTTGTAGATCACTTTGTGCAATTGCATGTTTTGAATGATCTGTATATGTTTACGTCTCTTATAGGTCTAAAATGTCAAAGTCCTGTGCCGTGTTTGCAAACAGCACACTGTTCAGAGGGGAAAGACCTGCACTAAGAGATAATGGAGTATGCATGTAATACAAGTTCATGTTCAACTTTCAAATGTAAACAAAGTCACATGTATCTCCCCTTATTGATCCCAATCACTTTTCTTAAATGTTCCTCCTATGCAATGATAGGAAACCTCACTCTTTCTCCATTTAATTTCTTTATTTAATCATCTCATCTTGCCTCCTGACCGTCCCAGATCTGATGGCAATTTCGTGAATTGTGGACTAGTGCTGAAGGCAGCAAATTCAGACAGTGGGACAGGAACCTTAAAACCAGGACTGTACTGCCTGATCCAGGACTGTTGGGAGGGATACATCACAAATTACTGGGATTTTATTACTGTATGGATTTGCACATTACTTGTTATATTACTGCAGAGAACTAATGCCACCATGATTGTAAAGTGTGAATTATTGAGAATTCCACCATTGTACAGCGCTACGGAATTTGCTGGCGCTATATAAATAATAAAACACTACTACTACTAATAATAATTCAGAGAGATTTTTAAAATTTAGGCCACAATAGCGGAACTGGTTATATTCCCCAAGTCAGCTATTTTTCTGTGAGTCTATTTTGGCCACAATTTGAAAATCACTTTGAAATCCTGACAATTGATAATTTAATGGATAAAGTTTAAAGCAACACTGTCACCGACTTGGGACTTGGGCAAATTCACAAAAAGCCCCAAAGGGGAGGTGACATCGCCACTGGTGGTCTAGAGGCCTGAGGGGCACGTAAAGGTGAGATTTACTGACCTGAACCTGTTCCTCGTAGGCGTGGCCATCTTGATCGGGCAGGTCCTCTTCAGCTCCTGGTGGTTCAGTTCCAACTTTGTCTCAGTATATCTCTCGACTGGGTTGGAGTTTCAGTAAAAGATTCTGTCTTTATGAAATACAAATTTTTTTGGGGTGGTGACATTGCTGCTCAAATTGTAGTGGAGCAATCAATACGGTGCAGTTATACACCGGACATTACTCTGCTACGTCACGTATAGAAAAATACCTTATAAAATGTGTCAGTTTCACTTTTTGGGGGGCGATTGAATGCACATGCCACCTGTTTATGAACAAGTACAAGCAGATTAGACACAGTATTTGTACAATACATGGTTGGTTTGTCAGTGAACATTACTTTGCATGTACGCTCAGTGGTGCATATACATTGCAACCCCTCCATTTAGAACACAACCCTATGTATCATTCTTTGAAAATCCTCATTTTTAGACTGTATGGGTCACTGAGATATCACAGAAGGTATCCTAAAGGGCAGGACACAAACATATTACAGTGTTTGGTCTGATAACATAGATCCATTGCTGAATGTTTCCAGGACCATAAATGTTGCAGGCTGACAAGGTGGTTTTGTGCCTCTTATTTCCCTGCCAAATTTGTGCATTCTTATCGCTGCGGAGCAATTATTACATCTCCCCATTGGATAACTGTATCATCAAAGCTGCAGTACTTTGTTCTCTGTGTTACGTATGACGTGTTCAATTAAATTACTATAATTTTCCTAGAGTTATGCACATGACTTTTACTTCACTTTCCTGCGTAAAGGTGAGAGGCCTCGACAATTGTTGTTACCGCTGCTACAATATTAATAAAGATGCAGATTTGATTATCCGAGTTACTAAGTAATCTTACATGTGACTCAAGTAACGAAACACAGTCAGGTCTGCATAGGTAACATCACATAAAAAACTGCCTGAGGGAATAATACATAATTTAAAATTATATTTTATACTGACAAGTGTGTAAGTGTGTCATGTTATGAACGTTGTAGATTTATTACCATGGGGTATGTAGGAAAGACAATCAATTTGAGAGTTTTTTTTTTTTTTGCAAAGGCCCGAGTATAATCCCGCAGGGCTAACCTATGCAAATGCTGCTTTTATTTTTATTTTTTACAGGGAGGTCTATGAACTTTTTGGGGTTTATTCACTAAACATTGATTTGCGGCAAATTAAAAATTTGAAATGCAAAAGTCAGGCTAGAATAATCGAGCTGCTACAATAGTTGAGTTGAAGAATTTTTCCAAATCAACAATTTTTTGCCTAAATTTTTAAATTGGATTTTCATATCATTGCCGTTTGAGGAGTTCAATGAAAATATTCCCTTAGAGAAGTCATCAAGTCACATGAAAATTAATTTACTGTCAGCTGTCTACAGTACCAAAAAAAACAAACTGGGCATTGACAGAAAATCACCAGGATATTGCATTTTCAGGCCAAAATAGTCAAGCAGGAACAATAGCTAAATCGTAGAATATGTTTAATGAATAACTATGTTCGTGAGAATAATGTATCTTAATGTAATGCTAAGTACTAACAGCATTATAACACTATTGATTGGTGAAATTACAACCGTCATCCAATAAATAACTAATCCAGAACAGCAAAAAAAATAAAAATGTAATAAAAATCCATTAAAACCATATGTGAGGTTTTGGGCAAGAGGTTTGGTTTTCAGAATACATGCACATTTTTGTCTGTCTCATGCGTGTTTGACACTGTGTTTTGAAGCCTAACGCCTACATTTTCAACATTCTAAACAAACAATAACTAAAAAAATATATATGAAAACTGGTGTATGAAACTAAAGGACAAGAAACCTCCTATATATATATGTTTGCACTGGCTATGAGGGGGGGTGGGCAATGTGTCATTGTATGTTGGTATTTGGAATAATCTGAGTGTAGGCACTGCCTCCATATGTAAAGGTATTTAAGCAATGTGTAGATAAAGGGTAACATTTCTCTAACCTCATGGGGAGGATGTGTTTATGACAAATATCTATACACAGAAACCACAGGGTTGGACCTTCAGCATCTATGTCATATCATGTGTTGGTAAATCCTCCCAGAATGGGAGGGCAGAGGGAGTGGATGGGAGGAATTTTACATTCACACCACTTTTAACCCCACCTCCTGGTGTGATCCCAAAAAAGGAGAAAAAAAAAAAAAGGTGAATTAATTCAAACACACTCAGGGATCCCCCTATCAGTGTACAATTTGGAGCAGAGCTGAGTGAGTGCAGGACCTGCCAGGCTGAGCCAAAGGGACCCTGACACTGGGATTTAATTCTACCCAACACAGCAACACCATGAGGCTAACAGCATCAGTAGTGCTGCTTATTATATTGAACAATGTGCTTGCAGATACAGGTAAGCCATGCTTGCACATTGATTAAGGAAGGATATATATATATATATATATATATATATATATATATATATATATATATATATATATTTTACATTTAAATTTACTTGTGTTTTTATTTTAGCTGCTTTGTACTTTGCCATGTGAGGAATAACATGACATGCTGACTCTATAAAATGCATTTATTGCATAGTGATGACATTGACAGAGTCAGTATATCATGTTATAGATCTTTATCTTCATTATAGAGTCTGGAATTGTCTGTTATATATCAAGTAGTCATTTTATAGCCTGGTCTTGGCTTTCTTTTTCTTTTTATGAATGCAGGATCAGTCATTGTACAATATAGCCTTATAGAGCTTGTAATAGGATAGAGCCTGGACTTTTAATGATGCATGATCACAGAACCAGCCCTTGCTTTCAGCTGCTTATTGTACTATTTTGATATTTATTGAGATATCCCCTAGCCTGCCATTGCAGCACTGATACTGTTTGATTTCATTCATCACAACGTGTTGTGTGGGAGAGTCCTGGCTGTGCTCTAACTCTGTGCATGTTATATACTGGGGCTCTATGGGGGAGATATACTAAGCCCCCCCTTTCTATGTCTGTCTGGGGTTCAGTTAAGGTTGCTAGGATGCAGGTTATTGGGGGGGGGGGGGCTGAGGTGAATTAGCGCAGATCTGACGTTTACAACCGGCTTTCCCCTCCTCTACTACGGCATGCCCCTTCAAGCCCCGCCCTTATATATGCCGTCTTGGGCCGGCTAGAACCAAAGCTGATTGGCTGACGTCAAATCGGCCGATCGCGAGCCCCAGCCTGACTGCCCAATCAGGGTAATGATAGGGCGGGGCTTAGCGACGGTTTTTTTTTGTTTTTTTTTTTCTTCTCCTCGTATAGTGGCGGGCCACGCCCTATTATAACTGTTTCTCAGCTCGGCTGCATGGCGGGAAAACTCCTCCTGCTTGTGGGATGGGTTTTCTGGCGTGAGGGAAAGGCCAGGCCAGGCCATGGCCGGCCCCTCTTCCCTTACAAGTTCAAGTACGTCTGGCTTCCTCCATCAAAGGATGGGGTCAGGGCGTGGGCCCCTGCTGATAAGAGTTTAACGCACGTACATAGGGTCCTGTGTAAAGACACGCCCGGATAGGGCTATGCAGACATAATGGCTTTTAATTTTTAAATGATGCTGAACGAGTAAAATGGAAAATACCATAAATTCAACACGTACAAAATGCTAAAAAAAAAATATAATTTATACATTAAATTATTATATAAAAAAAAGTGAAGTAAAATCGACTTTGCTAACCAGTTATGAAGTAAATTTTGGTTATTATTCTTCTCAAATCATGTGGAGTTTAATTTAAAATTAAAACTGATTTAACTAAATCACAAGCCATTATTTTTCCTCCCTCAGTCTCATCTTATAGAATCACTTTATGAAGTAAATGTGGTTTCTGTGCCCCGAGTTCTTAAAATAATGCAGACAATATTGTGGTTGAAGTGGGAAAATTAACTTGTAATGTTTAAAAAAAAACCCGCAGGATTTGGCGTAAAGTCTCAATTTTATCCCACGAACATAGTGTGTGGAACTTCCCTCCTCTTCAAATTTATCTTAAAACATCCACCGGTTTATATTTTGACTTTTCTTTTTTTTTACCACAACATTTTAAAGAAGAAACGATTCCCTGCTTGTATTATTTACATGGAATCATTATTTTTACTAATTTATTTAGTAAAAATAATGATTCCATTATTACTATTTGTTAAACTGATGTGGTAACAAAGTAACAAATTAATTAGACATAGCAGTTTTCTATCTACTAATTACTTTTAACAATAAATACAATAAATAAATGACCAAACCTAGTGCCAGATTATACTCTATTTTACATAAGCATTGCCCTGGCATGGTTGCCATTACAAACCTACAGTGATGCCACCCTTTGCCACTAGTGCCAGTGTTGTGTTGGCACACGTTTTGCTTTGTGCCGGGTGGTATTTACCCTGGCACAACCTCAGCTGTAAGGGAGCAAGTAAAAATAGGACGTTTTTGCCATTTTCAATTCACTACTATGTTTATTTCATTATAGAGGAAGGCACGTTTCAGATACACAGGGTCTCCGAAGCAGGATGTTCTTAATATTTCCAAGTTGGGTGTGCCTCTTCTAATGGAGTCTGCTTGCCAGCCATTTTTAAAACTCCTGTTACTATACACAAGTTTTGGTGTCTGCCAGTTCAGTGCATTATGTGTGCTGGGGATGAGGTTTAGGGGGAGGCATTCCCTGGTGAAAGTTAGTTAATTAATTAAAAAGGTGGCAAAATTTGAATTCGAGTAGGTGGGTTAGTATCCAAAACTTTGTCTCCTTCATGCTGTTTCTCACTCGCAATTCATGTTTGACACAGTGGCAGCAGAAGGCAACAATTTATAATCTAAGACTGTACTAATTTAAACTAAAGTATTCAAAAGTAAGCAATGTTTGCCTTAGAAGGGGGCCGTCATTTGCACGTTATGTACAGGTAATAATTTCCCCTCTAACGTAACATCCTGTATGGTGCAAGCAGATATAATAAAAAATATTGTTTTTATAAACCATGGGCTGTATTTGCAGGGCCTATACTATTAAAACACTTAATAGCATAAGCACCTTTAATTTCTCTGTACAATGTGTTGCAATAATTTCCACCATCAGAAATGTGGGGATTGCGTAATGTTTTTATTGAGCCATTTAAAAATTATTATTTTTTTAACCTTAACGGTGACGCCATTAGCAGGAAAACACCACATCAGGAAACAAAGAAGCAAGTGACTACTATTATCGCAGTGCTTTTACAGCAACCGATACGGCTAATGATTCAAACAATCGCAATAAAGCAATTTATCATTTTTAGATAATGTCTCAGCTCCTTATAACTAATTTCATTTGCTTTAGACACTATAATACCATATCTGCAAGTCTCCTATCTCTCCTAAAGTTAGGCCTCACTGGTACTAGAGAAGTAATATATTTAGGGCCATATATTTACCCCTCCAGAGGCTGTTCTAGGACAGTTAATATAATGAACATTTTCATGATAAGACTTTGGGGATCTAATTTATCCCATATAAGCCATACAAGTTTGGGATTAAATACACTTTCCTCTTTGCTTGCTAACCTTCTGGGCCATCAAACGTGCCACTTTATCTGTCTTTCTATAGACTGAGGCCTACAACTCTCAGGAATAGTGTTTTTTTTTTTTTTGTGTTTTTTTTTTCAACCTCTCTGGTAGATTAAAGTGTTGACTCTAGGTAGAAAAACTGTGATTCCTCCCAATAGTTTTAACATGACTCATTCTAATTTTGGAACCTTACGTTGTCGGTAAAACCCCTCCCCCAAGATATCGTCTTATGTTAAGACAAATAACTGGGTGTATTGTGATACATCTTGGGGTAAAAAAAAAAAGCAAGGCAGAATACACCGTGTTCTAAAATGGTGGAAGATTCTTCTCCTACCCACATACTTCCTCAGAGCTCATTCCAGGAAGTTACCTTGAACAATGACCGGCATAATTTTACATATTGCCAAACCCTCTTTGTGCCTTGAGTACAGTATATGACATAAGCATTTTCTTACTCACAAGCTAAATGTATAAGGTATTCAGAGTGTACATGTTGTCACGGCTCTGGAGTCTTTCAGCTTGGTGCCTATGGCCCACCACCATGCTTCATTGACTTATGGACTTGTTTTGGTCAGTAGTTAAAATACAGGTAGAAACACAGCTACAAGTGCCATGATTATTTGCATACCTTAACGATATCCAGGTCTACCTTTGTCCCTTTAAGAGTAACTCCTTAGTACCAATAAACTAGATGTTACTTGCTCTTACCAGACTGTTACTCCTTCAGACATTTGTTAGACAAGAAATTAAGCCAACAGTCTTTTCATGGTAGTTAGACGTCCACACTTTCTTACAGGAAGGCTTAAATAGCTTTTACATAGAAACATAGAATGTGACGGCAGATAAGAACCCATCTAGTCTGCCCAATTTTTAAAATACTTTCATTAGTCCCTGGCCTTACCTTATAGTTAGGATAGCCTTATGTCTATCCCACGCATGTTTAAACTCCTTTACTATGTTAACCTCTACCACTTTAGCTGGAAGGCTATTCCATGCATCCACTACCCTCTCAGTAAAGTAATACTTCCGGATATTATTTTTAAACCTTTGCCCCTCTACTTTAAGACTATGTCCTCTTGTTGTGGTAGTTTTTCTTCTTTTAAATATGGTCTCCTCCTTTACTGTGTTGATTCCCTTTATATATTTAAATTTCTATCATATCCCCCCTGTCTCGTCTTTCCTCCAAGCTATACATGTTAAAATCCTTTAACCTTTCCTTGTAAGTTTTATCCAGCAAACCATGAACTAGTTTTGTAGCCATTCTCTGAACTCTCTCTAAAGTATCAATATCCTTCTGGGGATACGGTCTCCAGTACTGCGTACAATACTCCAAGTGAGGTCTCACCAGTGTTCTGTACAATGGCATGAGCACTTCCCTCTTTCTACTGCTAATACCTCTCCCTATACAACCAAGCATTCTGCTAGCATTTCCTTGAGGTTAGGACTTTATCAAATATTCTATACTCTGCCCTTGGGTTTTTACGTCCAAGATGCATTATCTTGCACTTATCCACATTAAATGTCAGTTGCCACAGCTCTCACCATTTTTCCAATTTACCTAAATCATTTGCCATTTGGCTTATCCCTCCTGGAACATCAACCCTGTTACATATCTTAGGATCATCAGCAAAAAGACATACCTTACCATCAAGATCTTCTGCAATATCACTAATAAAAATATTAAAGAGAATGGGTCCAAGTACAGATCCCTGAGGTACCCCACTGGTGACAAGTCCAAGCTTCGAATATATTCCATTAACTACAACACTCTGTTGCCTGTCACTCAGCCACTGCCTAACCCATTCCTGTGGAAAGTACCACAACATGTTTTCTTTTGAGAATTGCATATTGTTTGACAAACAATAATGAAGTTTGTTGATCAATACTAATATGTTTTGATCTCTTTATTTTCCCATGTCTTATCTGCTTACCTTCAGCTCCGTACGATAGACTATCATGGGTTATATGGCACCTCAATGTTCTTTATGGCAGACGTATAATCTCTAATCATTTTCCCGTTTACAGACCAGTACATTCTGCTCATACAACACAACAGGACATTTTTTATTTTTAAAAATAGATCTGTTAAACAAGTATTGCCTTTAAAAAAAAAAAAAATATATATATATATATATATATATATATATTTTTTTTTTTTTAATGGTTTTGTAAGTCAAAGTTCAAATTTTAAGATTTATTTTAATATTTCCAATACAGCTGCTAAATATCCATTTCTTAATCACCAAGATGTTTTTATAGGAATCTTTAGTTCTTTAAATACAGTGCTGTGCAATACGTTGGCGCTATATGGATCATTTTAATTGTATTTCTTTTTATATGCAAAATCCCCTCACGTGTGATTGTGTAATATGGAACAAACTCGCATGCGCGATGGGTAATTTTTTTACAGTTTTGTCGCAGGATATTTGGACTAAAGTTCAGGCGTCAGCATCTTGTCTCAATATTAACGTGTAATCTAAGCATTATTCTTAAAGGGGGTTTATTAAGGAAGCTGCAAATATTCAAAAAAGTATCATATAAAGCTGATGTTTCATGCAGAAATACCGTTCAAAGTTAGAATTTTATTCCTTCATGTATACTGCACTTTATGGTTTGGGACACTTCTAAAATGTTCATGTTGCATCCATAATACTACTTAGTAGATGTTTTTTTAAAGAAACCAGGCACTTTCGCTAATCAGGGTTAATGAGGAATTGGAATTTCTCACTTTGCTGTCCAAGTCTGGTTGAGCAGATGGTATCTTTAATTTTCATACATAAGTTGGATAAATAAAATATCTGACGGCTTTCTTAAACCTGTGTCACCCATACATTTAAGAAAGTATGGCGTCTGTTTGACCGACTGGGACTGAATTAGAACCAGGCTGAGTACTCTGCTCTGGCATTTGAAATATGAGACTTCCTTTCCTGCATTCGTGTACACTGAATTGCTTGCTTTCTAATAGAACCACTCCTCAAATAGAGCAGTAAAAAAAATCAGTTGGACAATGATAGTGGGGCAATGAATGCAGTTTGGTTTAATCCGCAATTAACATTTATCTATGGCTAGTTAGCCCCCTGCCCCATGAGCCACCCAGAGTTGGACAACTAATGCAAAAGTTCACTTTTGTGTTAGCCGAGCCTCAGCATGGGGATGGGATTTTAGGCTCCGGGGTAACCCTGATTTTATGAATTGGTTATGCAGTAACTGGGGAGACTGCACTCAAAAACACTTTGCACCATCACCACTACCAAGAGAGTAGAATTCTGTAATAAATTATATTTCTTTTTTTCTTTTTCCCTCTGTTAAGTAGTTTCCTTTTTGAAGGCCTTCATTAACCCCTTAAGGACCCAAACTTCTGGAATAAAAGGGAATCATGACATGTCAGACATGTCACACATGTCGTGTCCTTAAAGGGTTAAACTTCTAGATTTTATCTGTAGAGAATGGAGAGGTCAGGCTTGCTGTAGATCTGTCTCTGTCACATAGACATCCTTGTTATTAGGTTTATCATCACAAACCTGGAGGCATTTCTATATTCTAGAAATCTCCTTCCTTTTTGATTTTTTTTTTTTTTTTCTTCAATTTTCCATTCATTACAGCCCGATAACAAGCGATCAGACATCTCGTGTTCATACTGCTCGTTTATATATGACTGATAACATGCAACAAGCTCATTATCTATTATTAGACCTCCCACAACACCTAGACTACTGTAGGGCTGGCTGAGGGTTATGGCATTGGTATCCAAAATGGCAAAGCCGCACTAACACAGCTATATTTCCCTAATGTTTTTGAAGGGTTTCTAACCTTGCTTGTTAATAAAGCTATTTTAATCTTTGCCATACTTTGCTCACGTGGCCCTGAAATGAAGGTGGTATTTCAATGTAAAGATCACAGTGATTACTGGAGTCACATTGTTTTAAGATTTATGTGTGGCATTTCTGTAGACATGTGATGAACTTTTTTTATCGCTGCCCTTCAAACATGCAGGGCCTTTGATTGGCTGTTAATGTCTGTGGTGGTAGTGATGGTGGTTAGATACTTTTTGGAGGGGGTAAAGCATTACATACAAGGTAACAGTGGATTGTAACTTAGTTGAAGTTATTAGTTCTAGTGGGCCTTGGCAATGCCTTTACACAATCTTTTTTATTTATTTTTTCTCACAGGGAGTAAATGTGATCGAAACGAGTTTAAGTGCTCAGATGGGAAATGCATACCATACAAATGGGTTTGTGATGGAAGCCCAGAATGTGACGATGAGTCGGATGAGTCTGGAGAGGCTTGCAGTAAGTAAATTTCATATCCCGGAATATTCTTCAGTGACATTCTGAAATGACCACTTTTTTATTTATTTTTTACTCTTTCTGAAAATATATTAATACATATGTCCAGATTTTTATTTTTATTATCACTCATTCAATGCTCTGTTTTCCTTCCCTTCAGTGTCTATAGTGTGCACCGAAGACCAGTTCAGCTGTGGTGGACGGTTAAATCGTTGTATTTCTATGTCCTGGAAATGTGATGGAGAGACTGACTGTGAAAATGGCTCAGATGAACAGAATTGTCGTAAGTTTACTTGTGACACTAGTTATGTTTTTATAGATAAAGCTAGTGCAAGTGTGATATTCTACATAAAACATGAATGATCATCGTTACTAATACTCTATTGCTTCTTTGTTAGCTGCCAAAACTTGCCCCGATGACTTTTTCCGGTGTAACAATGGAAAGTGCATCTCTCTTGAGTATGTGTGTGACCATGACCATGACTGTGAGGATGGCAGTGATGAAGTGTCCTGTGCAGAACCCACATGTGGTCCAGCCTATATAAGTTGCCACAACAATGGCATGTGTATTCCAAAGTTTTGGGGTTGTGATGGAGACCCTGACTGTGACGATGGCTCAGATGAGCTTAACTGTGATGGGAAGGCACCCACAAGGACTGAAAAACCATGTGGCGAGCTGGAATTTCACTGTGGGAGTGGAGAATGCGTACACCTGAGTTGGAAGTGTGACGGAGCATTTGACTGCAAGGATAAATCAGACGAGATGGATTGTAGTAAGTATCTGAACACCCACGTATAGAGAACAAATGGAAGTAAAAGTGACAAGAACTCGTGTTTCACTGTGATCCCTTGCTCACACGAGGGTCATAATTCTTGTTCAAAAGTGCTAAAAATTTAATTATGCACAGAAAACGTGCTTGATTTACTGTTTATGAAGCTTATCGTGATTCTTGTCTGTCTTCCAGTCAAACCCACCTGCCGTCCAGATGAATTTCAGTGTGACAATGGGCAGTGTATTCATGGGAACCGCCAGTGTGACAAGGAATATGACTGCAAAGATCTGAGCGATGAGCGGGGCTGTGTGAATGGTGAGTACTGAGAGAAAAAAGGTTACATTACTACCTAATGCAGTTCATAAGTGTGTCATCAAGTTACCTCCTGCACCCTTAGACATAGAATCTCTTGTTCCCTTAAGATAAAGATTTAATCTCGGACAGGAGGTGGTCATGGGCAGAGCGAAAAGCTTTCACCTGCTGCACCCACAGAACATTGCTAAGCTATGATCCTATGTCTATGAGTATAGCACTATGCACCCATTTAAACTCTTTTTTTTTTTTTTTTTTATTTAGTGACAAAATGTGAAGGCCCCAACAAATTCCAGTGCCGCAGTGGGGAGTGCATCTCTATAGAGAAAACCTGTGATGGGAAGAGAGACTGCCGAGACTATTCAGATGAGCCTGTTAAAGAGTGCAGTGAGTATTTTTTGTCCTCTATAACTAGGCCTTGTTCTCATAATGTCTCATGGTTGCCCCCCTACTAAATGAATACAATACATCCATAACCTGTTTTATGACTATGCCCCAAAGAATTGACCCTTAGTTGTCTTGCTTTGGGGAAGGAACATTTTACAAAGTTAAACATTTATATGGGGGCTCATTTGTTTTTTGGTATAGCAAATTATCTGGACACATTGCCCCTGGTGACTAGTAGTGGAAACCTGATTCAAACCTTTTAAGAAACCAAACTTATGCCGTAAAGAATTATGTATTAATTCTGGTTATCTTTCTCCCCAGATGAAAATGAGTGCTTAAAGAACAAGGGAGGCTGTTCTCATATCTGCAAGGACCTAAATATTGGCTATGAATGTATGTGTCCTGATGGTTACAGACTGGTGAATGGAAGGCGCTGTGAAGGTAATTGATAGTATAGGAATATGTTGTGTATTCAGATATATTTCAGCAGGCTAATTTTAAGGGTTTAGTTTGTACTAGAAGTACAGACATTCTCGTATTTCAATGATCCTGGCTGTTTATATCTTCATTCTACTCACTGTGTATGGTATACTGATTGTTAGAAAGTACTCCTTATATTGGCACAATCGTGGATACAATTCTCTTACTTCAGTTTAATTTTCTCCTTACAACCTTTTTGTCTCTGTGTACATTTCCCCTAAAGATTGTAAGCTTATGGCCTTTCTCCTTTCGTTATAGTGTCTAAATATGTCTCCCTATTTGTATATTCACCAGTGTTATTTTTGCATAGATTGCAAAGTGCTCTGAATAAGACAACCACCTTTGGCCATTTATTAAAATAATGAAAAACAAACACACACATATTTGCCTTGGAATATAACATTTAAACGTGAAAGTCAGACTCCTTTAACTGCGTAAACAAGGCTGATTAGAATGTGATCCTGAATGGTTTTGCCCAGCCAGAAAAATCATTGTGTTGTGTGTTCTTTTCCTTTTCTGTTTGGATTCTGTGTAGCAAGTGAATGTGGTTTAATGCATCTAGACTGTATGAGCAGGATCCTCAATAACCTCTTGTTTCCTTTTTAATATTTGTAATATTTTTTCTCATTATATCCCCACATTAATTTAGTAAAGTGCTGCGAAATATGTTGCCTCTATGTAAATGCCTTTAATAAGTGTCTCATTTTCTGATTTTTCTACTCAGATATCAATGAATGTGAAATCCCTGACACGTGCAGCCAAATCTGCATCAATTTGGAGGGCAGCTTCAAGTGTGAATGTAAAGAGGGATATCAGATGGATCTTATGACTAGATCCTGCAAAGCCATTGGTAGGTGGAGTGTGTTCCTTATAATACATGCGAAAAGGTCTTAATAACCTTTTGTCCATGTGCTTCATATGTCCTGTACGCAGGAACTACATTACATGCTTGATGTCTTATCTCTTTCTGTCTTCTCTTTTATTTTTCTATATAGGAAACATAGCATATCTTTTCTTTACTAACCGCCATGAGGTTAGGAAGATGACCTTGGACAAGAGCGAGTACTCAAGCTTCATTCCACATCTGAAGAACGTGGTGGCTTTAGACATGGAAATAGACAGCAAAAAAATCTACTGGTCTGACCTGAGTCAGAAGAAGATTTACAGGTAATGTAGAACTTAGTTCATTCACAAACTGTCAACCTTTCCAAACAAGGAAGGAAATTCCAGAATATACTCTTGTTTCTGTTCAACAAACTGATCCTCCACCCTCCTCCTTCTTTCGAGCAGTGCTTTAATGGACAAAGCCCACAACATTTCCCACCATGCAACAGTAATTAGCAATGAAATAAAAACTCCTGAAGGGATTGCAGTTGATTGGATCCATGGCAATATCTACTGGACAGACTCTGCCCTTAGCACTATTTCGGTGGCCAACACAGAAGGATCCAAGCGGAAAACTCTCTTCAAGGAGGATCTGGGCAAACCTCGGGACATTGTGGTGGATCCTTCACAAGGGTAAGTGTGATGTCAACCCAACATGACAGACCTTAGAGCTTACACTCTTACTCAGAAGACCTTACACTGTAAAATGTTGACTTTGTTGAACATCTGTTTTAATATCTATCCTCTCGTTTTGCTATTTCAGTTTCATGTACTGGACAGACTGGGGTCTGCCTGCTAAGATTGAAAAAGGAGGCTTGAATGGTGCAGACAGGCAAACTCTGGTCACAGATGGAATTGAATGGCCCAATGGTATCACTCTGGGTGAGTTTTCTCAGAATATGTTCTCCTTATGCATCCTGATCCACTTCTTCTTCATCCATCTCTTATTTTCATTACGTATGTCTGAGCTGCACCGAGTTATAAAATTACGTGGGGCATAGTTTTCTATAATGGTTAAACATACCTTTTTAGGTTATACCTTATCTGTATGCCACCATATGGTGTCACTTTGGACAATGTGTGATTCTTTATGGTAATTGTTTTCTTTAAAATCCCCCTTTTAAATTTATTTATTTATTTATTTATTTTACACTATTGTATTTTTTTTTTCTTCAGACTTTATGAGTCAAAGACTATACTGGGTGGACTCGAAGCTTCACTCACTGTCCAGTATCGATGTTACCGGAGACAACCGACATACTGTTTTAGTGGACGAAGAGCACTTGGCTCATCCTTTCTCCCTTACGATCTTTGAAGTAAGTTTACATTAAAACATTGTCCCTGTTATTCCTGGTCCATGAAGACTGAAAATTAGCAGGGATATTTTGCTAATCGTACTAGCTGACTTTATATTTAAACAAAGACAAGCACACAAAATCCATGTACAGTAAGAATGTATTTTATTTTATACCACATGATGGTTCACATGCAATAGTTGCTCTATTTTGAGTAGGATTTTCTTATTTACTTTTAGAAATTGCATCAAACTTACACCTGGTACAGGACTTTACAAGCCCTTGACCCAAATCGCTGTTTTTTTTTTTTTGTTTTTTTTTGTCTATGTCAATATTTGCTCCCACTATCTATTTAGTCTGATATTTTGTTATCTTCAAGACTGGATCAAATATTAACAGTAATTTGGGGTCAGCATTATCTACCTATGTAATAATGCTTTGGGTGTATTTTTCAGGACCTTGTTTTCTGGACAGACAATGAGAAACTAGCAATATTCAGTGCCAACAGACTCACAGGAGAGAACATTGTTAAAGTTGCTGAAGATCTTCAGTCTCCCGATGATATTGTCTTATACCATAACCTGAGACAGCCAAAAGGTATGAATAACAATTCCGTGTTTCCATGTTATATCTATATCTAATCCGTTACATTTCAGAGAAAGAAAGGTTCTTATGAATTCTAGGTTAGTGGTTTAAACCAGTCATAAGGAACCAGCAATAGGGATAATGATAAAACCGATGCAATTTAGGGTTATTTGAGAACCATTCCTAAATGGGTTTGCATTCTAGATCTGTCTCTCTGGCTCCAGAACAATAGAGGTCAAAAAGTGTAGCTCTCAGAATGTCCAGAGGCTACAATCCCTATGATGTTTTGACAGCTATTAAGGGTTGAAGTTCCCCAATAGATTGAGGGCTGCCTATTGAACCAGGTCTAGGTTATTGTAAATTGTTGTTGAGGAGGGAATAAAGGAGTCTGCAAGTTTCCCTAGATTGTAGGGACGAACACAATCTATAGGTTATATTGAGATATGTGATGGGGAGTAACATTTGCATAAATTCTCTGAATACAATGGGATTGTATTGAGCTCACTGCAGAATGTATGACATAACAGAAAAGAACTGTTTTTATAGGTGTGTGTGTGTGTGTTTTGTATTTACTTTAGTAATTTAGTTTTTGTTTGTTTTAGTGCATTTATTAAACTTTTTTTTTTATCCACACTCTTGATTACAGCTCAAAACTGGTGTGAAACCCACCATCTTGAAAATGGTGGCTGTGAGCATTTGTGCCTACCAGCCCCTCAAATCAGTGCCCGCTCCCCAAAATTCACATGTGCCTGTCCTGATGACTTGCAACTGGGGCCCGACATGAGAAGATGTGTGACGGGTAGGTTGGGTTTTTGTAATGCCACGAATGGCCACAGGAGGCGTTTGGGTGTGAATAGATCCTTTCATTGTCGTTGCATGAGCTTGCCATGCAGCCTGTACAGAACCGTGCAAATGGAGTGTGTTGAGAAAATCAGAGTAATAAAAGTCCTCGTTTATCCCCTATGTAAAAATGATCAAGGCTCCTAACATGTCTTCTTTGCTTTCCAGCATCTACTCCTACAGAAGTATCGCAATCTACATCACCACCTATTACCACCACAGCAATGAGGAGTACTACCCTTGCGAAGATCACAAATAGGCTCCCAAAAACTGAACCACAGCCAAAACTTGCAACAGCTTCAACCACTACCACAATCTCCACCACCACAGCTGCTGCTAAAACCACTGCAACAAGAACCACGGCGAAATCCTTGAACTTCACTACACAGGCGTTTCAAACACAAGAAAACAAAGGTACATTCACCCTTCACACTCTCTCTCCTATCTCCTTTTTAATAATTGCATCATCAAGCTTTTATAGAAGATGGCAGAATGGTAGCTAAATTTACACTGGACAATTTTGCAATTATTACTACAATGGGGTGATGGGTGTATGTAGAGGGGATTATGTGATGAAGACTATTTTGTTTTTATTTCAGTAACACAAACGTATTGCTTGTGTCCCATAAAAGCCAGAGAGCTGCCATGTAACACCCTCTCTCAATTTTATTTTTGTAGATCGGGATGTGCTTGTCGCAGATACTACAAATTCCCACTCTGGTCCCACGGCTCTCTATATTGTGCTACCAATTGGTAAGTTGTAAAGAAGAAACATTGTTACTCTGGCAACATCTCGGTTTGTTTGTGAAGCCTTTGAAGCAAATCTTCATAGCTAACTGAATCTGTTGAAGGCATTCTTGTATCCGATATAGAAGTCTCTTTATGGTGCTGTACGTCTTATTCATATATGACAATGAACAAACCAGAGATGCCTGTTTCACATGGCATTTGTGGCCAGGTGGATGCAATCTTACAGTAGTTCACAATTTTTATATTTAAGCCTGGTTGATATGATTTAGCTCAACCCCCATATATTTATTTTGTCACAAATTATTATATTTGTGACTGAAAAATGCTCAATGGGAAACTGCGTACTTGCATTGGTTCGGGTCTTTTGGTGCCTGCTTGCTTACACTTTAAAAAAATTTTTTTTTAAATTTAACTTTCCTATTCTTAAAAGAAAAAAAAGAGACTTAATCTGATTTCAAAAGGCATACATATCGATACAGGGGCAGGCAACATTTGGCACACCAGCTGTTGTGGACTACATCTCCCATAATGCTCTTATAGCCACAATGCTGGCAAAGCATCAAGGGAGATGTAGTTCACAAAATCTGGCGTGCCAAATGGTGCCTACCATAGTATGATGGTGCAAAAGGACAGTTTCTCGTGGCAGAGAGAACAAACTTTGCAGAACTACATATTGCTCACCATTCAGACAGAATGCATTCAATTATGTGAAAGCCATAATGATGATAATTTTTTTTAAATTAACATCCTCTTTATCTTTCTGTTTTTGTTTCTTTTCTCCAGTGCTGCTTTGTTTAATATCTTTTGGTGGTTACCTCTTGTGGAAAAACTGGAGACTGAAAAACACCAACAGCATCAACTTTGACAATCCTGTGTATCAGAAAACTACAGAAGAAGATGAGATCCACATAGGACGAAGCCAAGGCGGATACAGCTACCCATCGGTAAATAACAATCTACTCTGTACAAAAACAAACCTACAGCGATGAATAGATCTGACAAAGCTTACTAAATAGTACATGCACAAGATCACACTCTGGTGAATCCAAAACAATATGTTTTGTCCTTTAAGAACTAATCATATGTTGGGTGAAATGGACAGTTTAGGCACCAAAAGCATCTAATCTTAGTGAACTGATTTTGGTGTCCCTCACAGCTTTGCACTTTTTATATTTTGCACCTCTAATAGCTGTCAAATGTTGTTGCTGGATGTGTGCAATGCTTCTCGGTTGTGAATATATGTCCCCATTGTTTCTCTGAGAAGCATTTCATTGGACAAGTCATCAGAGTGTCTGTTTAAACTCTGTCTTGAGTACTGTTATTTTGTAGAGAAGCCAACAATATAGACCTCCTAAATTGTGGGAATAAAATTCTTACCGTGGTCAAATATGTACAGATCTGATCTTCTAAACCTTGATCAATACATGTTGATACAGAGTCATGTTATTACAGATGAAAGTAGTGCGAGAGTATGTTTACTATAAACTGCTTTAAAGGAACACTCCACTGCACCCCCCAAAAAAAAACCAAAAAATAAAAAACAGTTAAGTAGATATAGCACCAAGGAAAATATGCTTGCATCTACATTTTATTTTTTATTTTTTCCATTGGAAGCATATCTAAAACCAATTTGTAGAATCTCTTGTCTGCAACCTTTGCTAGCTCTCCCCTTTTAACCACGCCCAGAGTTTCTGTGACTTTCCAATCACAGACTTCCCAATGCAGCTGAATGAGAAGTCTTTGCAAGGCAGGTGTTCTGGACAATTGCTGCCTCTTGAGTTTAGCTCCACTGAGCTAACCAAAACAGGAATTAACAGGACCGGTTAGAAGGAAGATTAGCATCTATACCTGTTTCAAGGCTTCAGCATTTGTCGGCAACTTAGGACTGTACACCAGCCAAAGTTTGCAAATCGTGCTAAGAATACTTTAACAACATAAAACACTTTGCTCGACTGATACACCTGTTATTGTCTTGTTTTTAGAAATACACACTTAAAAGAAGTATTGTTTTTTAGTATTCTCTGTAGTATTGGTACCAACATATATTATGCTGTTGACTGTACCAGAGTGGCTACCAGGCACTAACTAACTATTTCTGCATTTACAGAGGCAGATGGTGAGATTAGAAGATGATATCGCTTGAAGAACTGTTACCCATTTTGTGCCTATCGCCAAACTCTGCTGCTCAGTTCTAGATCAGGGGCAATGACTACAATGAATACAGAAAATCAAATTCTACATACATGTCCGTCCACACCAACGTGCCGTGTCTTCGCAGTTATATTTAAATAGCTTTGGGTTTTTTTCTACCCTCTCACCGTATTTTTTTTTTTTTTTCCTATTGAACGAGTTGCCCCGTCTCATTGATATTTTACAGACTTTGCTTTTATGTTTTTTGTTTTTTTTCTTTATTATAATTTATGGATTTAATTTTTGAAGTTGTGCCATATTATTTTCCGCTCTCCTCTGCACAATTGTGAGAATGAATCCATGAAGGACACACAACAGATCTTACAAAGGACTCTGAGAGTGAACAAATGTTGGAAAACTATAATATTGCAAAGCACTGCGGGACCATGAAGAACTTAAGAAAACAATCCTTCTGGGGGGGTTGTTTTAATGTTTTTGCAACTATGTTAGTGTTGTCTGTTTGTTTTTTGTTGGGGGCTTGAGTTAAAAGCACAAAGTACTTAAACACTAAAAAGCTAAACATTCAAACTGGATGGTGACTAGCAGCTACGTGTGCAGAACATGTTGAACTGTGGATATCGACATCTCAGGGTCGTCATTAATCTCTGGGAGTATGCTCAGGATCGGAGTTACAGCCATTGTATGAAGTTTATTCTTCCTGACAATATGTAGCAAATGGCCATCAGAGACCAACAAGTGCCTCTTCTGCAACTGTTGTTTTACCTCCAATTTGCCAACACCCGCCCTCTGTCTGCACTTTTGTTTGATTGGTTATGTATAGATTTGTTTGACTGTGTGTATGATGGGCTGTGGAATTTTTTTCTTCCCATCAGCCTGTATATTTTAGCAGGATATGATGGTCCAAACCGGCATTTGGAATATATAAAAATTTGTGAGTTTTCTTCTGAATTGCACTCTTTCAACAGCTGCTGTTACAATACCATTTCCATGTTTGCAAGCCAACGAATACAGGAATTGGTTGTTGAAGTTCAACTGCAGTTGGTGAATCTGCTAGCTTCTTGCTTTCTACTATCAGACGGTCAATGTGCAATCAGTTTTATCAGGAATGAAAAATTATGCTGTAATCCAAAGAACCGCAAACAAATGGTTAACCCTGTGATTTCCAGTGCGTTTCTTGCAAAACTTTTAGTGCTTAGTAGTTTAAACGCACCCATGGGTAGACTACTGCTGCCTTAATATGGAAGTGGTGCTAATATAATATCCTGTTTTTACATGCCGTATCTTTCAATTGTACTTGGTTGCATGTGAGATTTCTTTTAACCTGTGGAAAGCCTTACATTACATCTTCTCTTCTGGCTGCATAGAAAGCATCTGTAATTTACTGCAGTATTGGAATCAAAATGCCCTGCCTGAACCTGTGAAAAGATTGCTATTTTATGTGAAGGGTGTATATATATTTGTATCTGTACAGTTATACTTGCACATGTTTATATTTTTTTGCTGTATGTACTTTTATGTTCATTTTGGGAAAGTTTAATATATAATTTATTTATTTCAGAATATATTCCGTGTGCTTATTTTAATAACTGGATTTATGTGGTACTGGTATTTTTTTTTTTTTTTATTGAACCTGGATCAAACCACTTGGGGTAGTACATAATACAACAAAATATCCAGGACCTAATCAGACAACACTGGGTTTATATATAATATAAAGAACCCTCCTGGCTGCAGATTATCAGGACAGGCTCAGACAGTGCTGGGTTTATATATAATATACAGAGACCTCCTGACTGCAGGTTATCAGGACAGGCTCAGACAGTGCTGGGTTTATATATAATATACAGAGACATCCTGACTGCAGATTATCAGGACAGGCTCAGACAGTGCTGGGTTTATATATAATATACAGAGACCTCCTGACTGCAGATTATCAGGACAGGCTCAGACAGTGCTGGGTTTATATATAATATACAGAGACCTCCTGACGGCAGATTATCAGGACAGGCTGAGACCGTGCTGGGTTTATATATAATATACAGAGACCTCCTGATGGCAGATTATCAGGACAGGCTCAGACAGTGCTTGGTGTATATTAAAATGTAAAAGGGATTCCTTGTCTGCTCATACAATGCAATATTTAACTTTAAAAGTCTCTATATTTAAAAAATACAAACATTTGCTTTTTAAATTTATTTATTTTTAGTGACTTTTGTCACTACTTTTCGGACAGCCCTTTTTTTCAGTGCAGGACTCGTTAAAAGTGAGATACGATAACATTTTCACCTGGGTTCTGTCTACATTTAGTTAAACCAGAAACTTGCTCATTTATGTCCGTAAAACCCTGGTCTTCAATTTGTTCCCAGTAAGTAATGGAGAATAGGCATCTGAGATATTCCACAATGTAAAAAGTCCTCATTGAAAGAAATAAATATTAATCACACATGTAGATAAATAGCAAGTACCAGAACTACCTAAGTAACTGCATGGGGGGGAGATTTGGGTGATTAAAAATGGGGAGACGGCATCCAAACACTCTAAGGATTATACATCAAAGGATACTGTATCTCTTATATCCCAATATCTTATTTTTATAATCGTATCTTTACATATTTTAAAGGAACACTCCAAGTACCTTAACCATTACAGCACACTGTTGTGGTTATGTTACCAGAAGTGCCCTGACTCTCCCGATTTGTAAGTAGTCAAACCGTAAGAAGGGACATTCACAACCAATACAGTGTGCTATAGTGATTATGGTGATTGGAATTCTCCTGTAAATTTTGAGGTATCCACAAACCGCAATCTATCCACACGTACTGACGTACCCTATTCGTATGTGCTACCTGTGGATCTCGTACTTCTAATAAATGCCAAGCTGAATGTTTTCTAAAGAACCATGGGCTTGATTTTAATATGCTTCCCAAATGATTCAATACTGCTAGAAAGATTTCCAAATGAGTTATCTACAAAAAAATCCAGACTTTTTAATGGTGACATCTGTACATATATTAGTTTGAAGCCTAACAAATCAAGGCTCTAGGTATGAAGGGTCAAACAGCAGGAACATGGAAAGTTAAGGCAGGGCTGGAATCAGGTCATAAGAAGAATAAAATAAATTCCCTCCCCCATAACCTGTGTTTTAAATTATTTTTTTTTTTTTTGAGAGAGGGACCCAAATAACGTACATAACATTGTCTTCACGTAACATAAAATTAATTTTTACTATTATCCGAGATTAGGCCTCAATATGACAGAGTACAGTGATTTGTGGCTGACGTCGGCCTCCACAAACACATTTCTTGTTAGCTTATCTCCCACTTATTGTAAGAAATACAGACTTATCACAAAGTTAAAAAAGAGAATAGGGAGAACATGAATAGATTGTACTGTAACTGGCAGCAAATGATACAAGGTAACAGTATTACCGTCAGTGAGATTTCAAGGTGAATTTCAAATTTAAGGTCAAAATAGCCAAATTCGAGAAATTCAGTGCTTCCAGTTGAGCTCATTTGGCCTTGATTTAAAATTCAATTAGAATTTTCACTCTAGTGAATAATTATCAGCGCATTTTTTTTATGTAACCAAACTGATGACGCGACACGTGTTATAAAGAGGTAAATTGGGACAATGTGTTGTTAAAACATCTTTCCGTGCCCACAGCTGAACACACTGACAAACCTAAAGATTATGGGGTAGATCTGGCTGGTTCCCAAATATACGGAAGAATTAGATCATTAAAAATGAAGGAACTAGAAGTGTATGCTTCACTTTATGTGCCGAAAGGAGTGTTAACTCTTTATTTATTCCAATATTTGTATTCAAACAGGGGTGTCAATTACGGCAGCTCCAGAGTATAGATTTAGAATTTATGAATTCATTATTATGAGATGCCAGAAAACAACATCTGGACGCTCTAATAGAATTAAACTAATGGGACTCTCTCCAGATAGAGTAACTCTGAGACACTAAGGAATTGTACTGAAATTACCGTGACCATTTTTACTTTTCGAACTGGTCATAGTGGTAAGAGTGTGCTTGGTCAGGCTTATCCAGAGATGTGTGCCCGGGGCTAGTTGCTTCTCTGGCTCACATGACTTACATAGCTCTCTAGGTTGAAAAAAAAAACCAAAGTCTATCAAGTTCAGTCTTAAAACCCAATTCTTTATGCTGTTGATCTAAAAGAATGCAAAATTCCAGTTGTAGCCATTTCTAAAGGGATCCTATAGTAACAGGAAAACAAACCCGTTTTCCTGGCACTATAGGCTCTTGGAGTGCCCCCCTCCCTCAGCGCTGAAGGGGTTAAAACCCCTTCAGCCACTTACCTGAATCCAGCGCCGATGTCCCTCGGCGCTAGTTCAGGCTCTGCCCACACTCCACCACCGACGTGGGAGACCTAATGTGCATGCGCGGCAATGGCCATGCGCACATTAGATCTCCCCATAGGAAAGCATTATTCAATGCTTTCCTATGGGGAAAATCTGACGCTGGAGGTCCGTGAGGACGTCCAGCATCAGATAACAGACCAAAAGTCAGTTTGGATTCAGGAAGCTCTTTAGTGCTGTCTGTTAGACAGTCACAAAGGGCAGACTTAGAGCTGCAATGTAAACACTGCACTTTCTCTGGAACTGCAATGTTTTATATTGCAGCACTAAGTGCAAAAGGGTCACAGCACTCAGACCACTTCAGCTAATTGAAGTGGTCTGGTCGCCTACCGTGTCCCTTAATTATTCCACAATTATCCCACTTTCATTAAAGCCCTCCTGACATCCCTATACCCTCTGTTAGATTTTTTTTTAAACATTCCCTCCCTCCCCTTACCTGATCAGAGTGCACGCATGTTCTTTGGGCTTGTCCAATCAAATGCTTTTCTATGGACCTCATGACGGTTGGTGTCATTCTCTATTTTAGAGTTTGGGTTGAGGGATAAGGAATAATGCCCAATAGGACGATATGACAAAAAAAAGGCAAAAAAGTGTTGGGCTAAGCATTTAAAGGGACACTATAGTCACAAGAACAACTACAGCTTATTAAATTTGTTCTGGTGAGTAGAATCATAACCTTCAGGCTTTTTGCTGTAAACACTGTCTTTTCAGAGAAAATGCAGTGTTTACATTACAGCCTCAGATGGCTGTTAGAGATCCTTCCTGGGTCATGGCTGCCTAAAATGCATCCAAACATTCAGTGTCTCCTCCCTCTGCATGCAGACACTGAACTTTCCTCATAGAGATTCAATTCCTCTCTATGAGGATATGCTGATTGGCCAGGGCTGTGTTTGAATTGTGCTGGCTCTTCCCCAGAGCTGCCCCTTTGTCAGTTTCAGCCAATCTTATAGGGAAGCAATGCAATTGGATCAGGCTACCACTTCTGCTGATGTCAGTGGGCAGGTCAAAGGGAAACAGGGACAAAGCCAGCAGCGTCAGGATAGAATACAAGTAAGATTTTACTATATTTATGGAGACAAGAGGGGGCCAGGGGGACTAGATGGTGGTTTTAACACTATAGGGTCAGGAAGACATGTTTGTGTTCCTGACCCTATAGTGCTCCTTTATGACCTGGATTGCTAAACTAAGACACAAATTCTTAAATTTTTCCATTTTTTAAAATTTGTTACAACTTGGAGGTTGGATGGAGACTAGATGGACGATATAAATGGGGGTTGTGAGAGAAATAATTCCGTATGACACACTCAGTGTTATTTAGTAAAGTCAGAATTTTCACAAAGGAAATCAAAATGGTAAAAAAAAAAAAAATAGTTTATCTATAAAATAAATCTACAACTCAACTGTAGTCACGCCTTTACAGCTATTATTGCCTTGAAGATTTATCTCACTTTAATAGGGTTATTAAAAGTAAATTCAAATTTAAGGCTTACTTCGCCGAACTTCACAGCTGAGTTAAAGAATGTTTCCAGTTTGGTTACTGTGGTCTTAAAGGAACACTCAAGCACCATAACCACTACAGCCCACTGTATGGTACCAGGAGAACAGTTTAAAGGGACACTGTAGGCACCCAGACCACTTCAGCTCATTTAAGTAGTCTGGGTGCAGTGTCCCTATTGCCCTTAGTTTACATTGCAGCACTAAGTCAGCCTCTAGTGGCTGTCTGGTTTGAAATGGACCTTTAAATGGTCCGTTATCTGACACTAGACGTACCTACGCTGTGCATGAGGACCTCCAGCGTCAGATTTTTCTCCATAGGAAAGCATTGATTCAGTGCGTTCCTATGAGAAGGTCTAATGAGCGCGCAGCATTTGCCTCACATGCGCATGTTTCTGCTCGTCGCGTGATGAAGGAGGGGGCAGGGCTTTGTATTCCCTTTAAGTATGGTATGACAAATGACCTGGTCCCTGCTGAGCACCCGTTGCTGCCTCCCTTGGTGACAAATCTCTAACAACAAGCTCGCTCAGCCTACGCTCTCAGCCATTAAGCTGGCCTTGCTTAGGACATTGGCAGCGCTTTTGGCAGCAAGGGAGGGGTGGCGGTGTGTGTCTAAGATGACCGAGGTAAGTTGTCAAACCGAGCTTTAGTGCTTATGACGCTTAGAGTTTTCTTAAATTTGAAATTCTCTTTAAATTCTTGACAATTCTCACTTTAATGTATTAACCTGTATGTGCCAGTCAACACAGGACGTTAAAGAAAATCTACATAATCACTCTGAAAATCTGCCCTCTGAGAATCTAAGCAGTTGTCATGAGCCCTCCGGAGTATCTGCTTGTTCCCCCTAAGAATCTGCTCATTTACTCTGAGAATGTGCTCAGAGCAGAGTAAAACAAGTGGGATGTGGCGTGTTCCTCTCCTGGCAATATTATCCTTGTATCCACCCACAACGCTGTTTGAAGGAAGATTCTTGTTCATGCAGATACACTGGGAGTGTATTATCAGATGCCGGTGCCAGCTGGCAGTGATTCACATCATCCACACCCGCTATTAGCATAAGGAGTAGTCAGGGGAGATAGGCCGGGCGGTAGGAGGGCTTAGTATCACACCACTGTGGAGAGAGAATCTGAAATACCGTCCCATATCCTACTGCTGTATGAGACCTGGTACAGGTGTGCCCGTGCTACGGTGCCAGAGATAATACTGCTCGTAACACTTAGTGTGCCATATTTGTGTTTTAATTTCCAGGGCAAAGTGCAATACAAACAGGATTGGAGGACGAAACTATTTGTCACCTTTAGTTTATTATTTGCATCTATATAGCGCTAACATATTCCGCAGTGCCTTACAATTATAGAAAGCAGATATATAGAAGGCTCTGCTCAAATAAGCTTCCAAACTTTGAAGTTTTGAGGTAGGTGGATATATATCATAAGGTGTTGTGCCCAAGGACACTTACTGGTGAGGTGACTTGAAACTGCTCTAACCAGTTACATTTTATATCGTCCACCCAGGCTTTAGGGGGGTTCTGTCACCCCACTCCCCCCAAAATGAATTATTTAAAAAGATCAAATGAAATTTCACTGAAATGAAAACAGTCAAAAGACATATTAAGGCGAAGTAGGGGCTACCTTAATTAGTATATTTCAAGCGCTTGACAAGACGTGACAAGAGTCGGAAGCTACAGCCATCAAGTTTAGTTATTTCCCCCAGTCATCACTAGTGGCGATTGTAGCGAAAAATACATGATCTATGGAGGATCCCAGTGCCTTGCGAGATCCTCTGTAGACATGTGCGAAAATACAACACTGATGTGGACTCCTGGCAGATGAGACACCAGAAACTGACTGTCAGGAAGACCATAGCGGCATCCACGAGGGACAGGTTCAGGTAAAACACAACCGTCCCGGCAGCCCGCGGCCACCAAGTGAAGCAGTCACTGTTAGGGGTTTGTACAAATTATGCAGACAGTGACAAAGTTGCTTTAACCACATAAAGGGACAGTACCATAACCACTACATCCTGTGTTCCCCGGTTCCGAGTCACACCACCGCATTGCTAAACTAGTCAAGTTGTGACTACAGCATAGCTGAAAAATTTGTTTCTGTCATTTTTGCCTCTGTTTTGCCATTTCGATTTTAATTTACCTTTGTTTGGCTGTTTTACTCGAAATTAATGGATGGTTTTCAGTTAACAACAATTCAGTATTTAATTAATAAAATCCCAGAGAATTGAGAAAATATAAAATTTAGCTTGTCACAAACATATTACCCAGGGGACATGAGCGAAAGTCACATTTTATTGAAGTAAAATACCAACACAGCTCACCATTACCTGGCTCCAATGCTTGATCAATGGTCTGATGAACTTTCCCCTGTCCTATGTGCTCCTGGTCTAGTGGAGATGGAGCTGCAGTCAGTAAGGACGAACACGACAATGTCTAAATTGTTTTGCAGACAAACAGAAACTGCCATTATTTTGCGTGACTCAAATTGTGTCAGATGTGTGGGGGTATCTGTATAAAAATACATTTGTAGCAAAGTACCAAAAGTGGTTCAATCAGCAGGAACATTCCATTGGTTTCCACGGTTACAGCCCATGTCATAGACCATTGTCTGCAGCACTGAGTTAATAAACTGCTAACCATGAAAACAGAAATGTTTACATCTGTTAAACAGGATTTAATCAGGAAGGTTACTTTGCCAGACGATCATTGACTGCCACCTACTGTCTACGCAGACTAACTGCAGCATGAGGCCACTTCCAACTCCAGTTTCTCGCATGTTTGTTATCTTGGAGAATAGGCTACCTGTGCCAACCAAGCTGCTATGGACTGTGATCTACAGCTTCCACTGAGCTCAGCAGGGCGTGGACACTGGCATATTCTTGTATACTGAGACTGTAACAGAGAACACGCATGGGGGAGGGTGAGATAAATGTGCAGAGGGATAAAAAGACATGGCAGAAAAAGTAGAGCAGATAAAAGTATAGAGGGGATAGACGAGTAAAAAAAGGGGAAAGAAGAGAGAGAAACTTTGGTGGATTATGGGAGGGAGCTCCAGGGCGAACGTTCTCCTGCGCATCTTATATCCAGATATAGAACAACGTAATTACGCTGTAATTAATAAGGTTTTCATATTGCCAATCCTCTGTGAATAGAATATATACCGGTAATAGAACATGCCATTTTCAGTGCAGGTATTGGACTACGGAGCAGTGACAGGTGATGTGCAATCCGATATGTTGATGAGTGGACCTGCTCTTTGGGTATAAACTACATATCCCACAAACATCTGTCCTGCAGAGATTTATTGGATAGGAGTCTCTTCCTGATGAGTGAGGAGTCTGCACCTTGTGATTACGTCACGCTTCAGCACATCGTATTTGCTCTTCAGTATAGAAAGAAAGACACGCCACAGATTTATATAGCTATCTATCTGTATACATATATATATTTTATAGTGATACAATTCTTAAAATACAGATTGTCAGACAATTCATTTTAACATATAATAATGGATAACAAAAATATATATATTGCAGTGCCTGTATTACAACCGATATTCAGAAATATTATTGCAGAATCATATGAAATGAGCTTAATTGGCTGGTGTATGGAAGAGAGGGAGAGGACATCAGACTGTTCCCCGAGGGCTATTTATCTGTGATACCACAATGTGTCATTCTGAATTTACCAATCCACCTTCGTTTTCCTTTCTATTATATTTCTTGTATTTCACCATTCCCCCCAGACTTTGTCTATCTATGAATCTTTCTCCCTGCAATCTGTTTCTCTTTAAATCCTTCCCTACATCTCTTCTTTTGAATGTCTCCAAGATTATTATTTTCCATTAATACCAGTGGAAGAAAGAAGGTCCAGGCACTCCAATGCTTAAAAGCACCTTTATTGGACCCTGCAGAACACAGTAACGTTTCAACCCAAAATTGGGTTGACAAAGCTTGAGAATGACCTGATTTTGGGTCAGAATGTTGTGTTCTGCTGCGTTTAAGCATAGGAGTGCATGGACTTTCTTTCTTCGACTGGTATTTATGTCCTGATGGACTAGTGTTGGCCCATGGTCTAGTTAAGCACCTAATTGGCTTGTGGATTGAGTGCAATACCTGTTAATTATTTTCCATTAAACATTAAGTTTTAGTCTTTACCTGCACCGTCTGCAGTCCATCCTTCATTTTTGCTTTTCCATAGCTTCCAATCTCCACTTTTTCCACTGATTCACAACTTGCTCACCTTACCTTTCTCTAGGCTATAGTTATTTAATTCCACCTTTCTCTGAGCTCGGTCTATCTCCACCTTAACCCCATCTCTTGGGTTTTCTTTCAACCTACTCTCAACTTTCTCCCCACTTTTCACTCCCATTCCCCCCCACCTACTCTCAATTTTTAAAACTTATTTTCTCACATTACCCCCAATTTTTTCCACCTGTCTGTCTTTCTTTCTGAAATTCCCAGTACTCCAACTTTCCCCCAAAATGATTTTTGGGGAACCTTTGTTCGTTTAACCCGAGAATTTACATAAACTTGGCTTCTCTTTCTTCAACACATAATCTCTCTCACTATCCTAATCTCCCTTCACAAATCACATGGGCTTCTCACCATTTCCGTTTAAAAAAAATACTTTACCATCTACTGTCTCATTTATTATAAACTATAGGCCATATATATTCTATGTCGATCTCACAGCTCTCACCCGCTATCCCACATGTATAGGATCTATCATTGATAACATGTATTTTCAGTTTGTTATTTGCTCTCCTGTTTCAGTCCCCATCGCCCACCCTGTCCTGTAACTCGTGTCCTCATTCCCTCTCTCCATTGTGCTGAAGCTGGCCGGTAATCCTAGTGGTTTTGCAATGCAGTGCTCCACAGTCAGCCTTACAACTGGACGGCATGCATACACTCCCCACAACTTGACGCAGGACTGGGGTTTGATTTGGGTGAAATGCACACAAAATTCCTTCTGTTACTGAGATTGAATGGATGGGTCCGTATCCAGTTCTTTAGGATTGCTTGAATCACCCTACAAAAAAAGTATGAAAATAGATGAGAATAATTCCACATGGTCCTATTGCTGACTCCAGCCTGTGTCACCCTTTGGTGGGTCTGGCAGTAAATTACACTCACCGGGTTACCAATCTTTGAATTATGTGCATATAGTAACATAGCTATATCATTCTGCCCAGCCTCCAGTGCAATGGACAGTGCTGTGCTCCCATCCTAAAGGATACAAAATCGTGCTTTTAGTAAACAAAAACAAAAAGTATAATATCTGTATTAATACAGCTCCTTTCTATTACATTATACACAGCGCGGCCCCCTCTGGGGTGGGATCCTAGTAATATCTGTATTTATACAGCTCCTTTCTATTACATTATACACAGCGCGGCCCCCTCTGGGGTGGGATCCTAGTAATATCTGTATTTACACAGCTCCTTTCTATTACATTATATACAGTGCGGCCCCCTCTGGGGTGGGATCCTGGTAATATCTGTATTTATACAGCTCCTTTCTATTACATTATACACAGCGCAGCCCCCTCTGGGGTGGGATCCTAGTAATATCTGTATTTATACAGCTCCTTTCGATTACATGATACACAGTGCAGCCCCCTCTGGGGTGGGATCCTAGTAATATCTGTATTTATACAGCTCCTTTCTATTACATTATACACAGCGCAGCCCCCTCTGGGGTGGGATCCTAGTAATATCTGTATCTATACAGCGCCTTTCTATTACATTATACACTGTGCAGCCCCCTCTAGGGTGGGATCCTAGTAATATCTGTATTTATACAGCTCCTTTCTATTACATTATACACAGCGCAGCCCCCTCTGGGGTGGGATCCTAGTAATATCTGTATTTATACAGCTCCTTTCTATTACATTATACACAGCGCGGCCCCCTCTGGGGTGGGATCCTAGTAATATCTGTATTTACACAGCGCGCCCCCTCTGGGTGGGATCCTAGTAATATCTGTATACAGCTCCTTTCTATTACATTATACACAGCGCAGCCCCCTCTGGGGTGGGATCCTAGTAATATCTGTATTTATACAGCTCCTTTCTATTACATTATACACAGCGCAGCCCCCTCTGGGGTGGGATCCTAGTAATATCTGTATTTATACAGCTCCTTTCTATTACATTATACACAGCGCAGCCCCCTCTGGGGTGGGATCCTAGTAATATCTGTATTTATACAGCTCCTTTCTATTACATTATACACAGCGCGGCCCCCTCTGGGGTGGGATCCTAGTAATATCTGTATTTATACAGCTCCTTTCTATTACATTATACACCGTGCAGCCCCCTCTGGGGTAGAACCCTGGTAATATCTGTATTTATACAGCTCCTTTCTATTACATTATATATAGTGTAGCCCCCTCTGGGGTGGGATCCTAGTAATATCTGTATTTAAACAGCTCCTATCTATTACATTATACACAACACAGCCCCCTCTGGGGTGGGATCCTAGTAATATCTGTATTTAAACAGCTCCTTTCTATTATTAATAGACTTTCTTTTGAAATAACCACACTGCTTTTGCTCACATTATCAGTGAGTGCCATGTCACAGTTTGGCACTGCCAGGAGCAGGCTGACGATATCTGCGTGTCCATGTTCGCAGGCACACATGAGCGCAGTGGAGCCATCATGATCTTGTACATTTACATCTGCTCCATAGTCCAACAAAGCTCGCACAACGTCCAATCTTCCATGACTGACTGCAAGCATCAATGCCGTCTGCCCAGCCTGCAGGGAAGAAAAAAGTAAGGTGGAACTGCTACGCAATTGCTGCCCAAGGTGCCAATTAATGTCTTTTAACAACAGTATGCTTTATGTAATTTGATGACAGGCACTGTACAAGTGAAGTCAGAGTGGCACACAATGTGAATTGTGGAATTCACCCAACTTCCTAAGGCTGGCACTGCTCTTAATCTTGACTGTAGGGTAAGCTGGTATGCTATTAAAATGAAGTGAAGGTTGGTATAGCTCTTAAAATGGAATAGGGGGGAGGTTGGCACTGCTCATATTATTCAATGGGAGGAGTTTGCCTTTGTTAATACTGCAGAATGTGGGGGAGGTTGGCATTGTTCTTACTACAGAATGTGAGTGAAGTTGGCACGGCTCATACTATAGAATGATAGTGTAGTTGGCACTGCTCATACTTTAGAATGCTGGTGAGGTTGGCACAGGTTGTACAATAGAATGCCGGTGAGGTTGCCATTGCACTTACTATGGAATAAGTAGGGTGGGCTGTCACTGCTCATGCTGTGGAATTGGGGTAAACGTGGAACTGTTATTACTTGGCACTTTGCTGAAAGCCATTGATCCTTATTACACATATATTGTACACACACCAGCAACAGGTGCAATACAGACAGCTGCACAAAGAGCCAACTGCAAAAAGAGCAATCTTGGGATAAATGTGAAAAGTGGCTCAGTCAGCAGGCAGGTTTCCATGGTGTTTATTCCAGGATTCGAATTGTGGATAATGTATGACACGCAGTGTGGGAGGCACCTGGTCACTGGTGGTACTTACCTGACTTGCTCTGCAGTTGACATCTCCCAGGCTCAGTATCTGTTTGACTGTCTCGATATCCTCATCAGAACGAAAAGCTGCCAGAGCTGTGAGCATGAGTGGAGTGAAGCCGGCCTTATTCTGTCTGTTCACATTACACAAGCCTGGGGAACAAAGTGAGGGGAGGGGGAGAGTCACAATGTTATTCAGCAAGCTTAACTAACCATAGAGAATCAGAAGGAAACGGAGAAATACACAGAGAATGAGATAAGGAACACAATCAAACCCAGAGAGAAGTAAGGAGAGTGAATGGTGAGTGGGAGAGTGAATGGTGGATGGATATGATAAATGAAAGCGAAGAGAGGTGAGCAGAATAAGCAGGATTGATAGGAGAACAGAACCCTGGGGAGGGAAGAAGGAAAGATGGTGAGTAAGGAGACTGGAAAATGATTGAGATATAAAGTGTAGAAAGTGGCCACATGGAGGGGAGACTGGATCAGAAGAATAGACTTTTAACTGGAAAGAACAAAAAATGTGTTTGAGAGACAAATGGAAGATGAAAAACACATCTTATCCAATATATGTCTCACAATAAACCATGTTTTAATATTAATCTCTTAAATAAATAAACTAGATTAAGAGAAAACAAAACATGGATCCCAGAGCAATAACTACCAATATAATAAAATAATGACATGTTTCTTCAAACTTTACTTTTTTTTATCATACTCTACAAATAGTAGATGATATCCACACATTAACAGCATTCATTTTCTACACTTAGCACTCAGTACAGATTTTTTTTTTTTTTTTAATTCTTTATTTTTGCGTGCATTTGAATTACAGTCGTTTTGTCAATGCCCCAACAGTAGTGACAAACATTTGATTAGACATAGCGTAACATTTAGAAGCATTTGATTATATAGCACATTTTTAAGTAGAATGCGATTATCAGGTACAGACTAACTTGCATGTTCTGTGTCGAATTTAAGTAATGAATGGTTCATGTTTAAGCGTTAAATGTAAGCGGGTTATTTAGGTTAATAACAGAGTGTTCAAGCTTGTAGATGATTTTACACTGACGTTCACTGACAACATGAGAAACCACTGGGAACAAACAGTGCTGATAGTGATATCTATCTTAGCCGTGAGGGAAGACAGTGGATCTAAGGATAAGGGAGCTACCATCTCGCTTAATGCTGCATGTGTAGGTTTGCATGGGGTTTGCCTGCTAGTGGGGTATAACCACCGACATAACTGGGAGATAAGTAATTACGTGGTAAGCATAGTCCAAACAGCGACTGCTGAGGGCGGGTCCCCAGGATGCTAGGGTGGTATGTCCACTGAGAGGTATGGTAGCGGGTGCTTTAGCCGATGCCCAGGGCAGGGAAGTCTCTCTCATAGTTGCGGTGTGTCTTTTCGATGGTGCCCCTGTGTTGGGGGTCAGCTCCAGCGTTGACCTGTAGTATGTGCAGCCGCACAGCTACTATGTGTGTAGCGTTGATTGTAGAGAGTAGGGTCGTGCAGCCTGTTGATTTTCGGGTCGAGTGGGTTGTTTGGTGTAGCGCTTGTTTGGTGGTCCAGCACCTGTGCTGTTGTAAGTGTAAGCGTGCACCCGAGTAGTATGGCGTCACTTCCCGCCTTGAGGATCGCTGATGCCTGAGTTTCCTGATGGCCGCTCTGGAAGCTTGAGGTAAGCGCCTGTAGTGGCGACGTCGTGTTGCCGGGCGTATCCATGCAGCCACGGTTTTTATCGCTATGTCATAAGCCATTCCGCGGCAGTACAGCATGTCCCAGAAGCTTGTACAGAGCCGGTCAAAAGATCCCAGAGGGTGTGTGGGTGGCTGAGTGTTTGTGCACCGTGTTTTAGGCCTGTGCTGGGCAGCCATCTTGTCTGCGCCACGTTGGTTTGGTGCCTCTGTGTGCTGTGTAGTCGGTAAGTCTGCCCTCCTGCCTTATCAATTTGTCCAGTGAGGACCGGGATATCCCCCACCGGTCCAAAGGGGGGGGGGGTGATTTGGTATGAGGTCGCTGGAATGCTCTGGCTTCAGGGAGAGCGGCCGCCTCTCCCGAGCTCTGCCTGGTGTGTAGCGAGGCAAACAAGGCATTTGCCTTGAGCGGCATTTTCGAGGGGCGTAGCGCCGCCCCCAAATACCCAGGCAAATGTCTTGTCCAGCCACCATGACTAACAGACATTCTGGCACACAAGCGAGTAGCTACAGGGGCGGGCTGAGGCTGCCCTGGCCTCTGCTCAGCTCCTGGCGGCGCCAGCAGAGTGAGCTGAGGCAGGTTGATGGCGTCCTTATTCCGGCTCCCAGCCTCACTACTGGCGGCAGCGAAGCTTTAGCCTTCGAAAGCTCCTACTTCCAGCACCCGCCCTTTCCCACTCCTGCAACCACTGCTGCGCCCAGCGCCCAGGAAAGGAAAGAACCCCAGCATTACCAAAGTAGGAAGAGAGCTGGGGGTTAAAAAAAAAAGCACTAGTGTGTGTGTGGATGTCTGTTAGTGTGTATGTATGTTAGTGTTAGTGTGTGTATGTTAGTGTGTGTGTGTGTTAGTGTTAGTGTGTATGTTAGTGTGTGTATGTTAGTGTGTGTGGATGTCTGTTAGTGTGTGTATGTTAGTGTGTCTGTTAGTGTGTGTATGTTAGTGTTTGTGTCTGTTAGTGTGTATTGTGTGTGTATGTTAGTGTGTGGATGGATGTTAGTGTGTGGATGTCTGTTAGTGTGTGTCTGTTAGTGTGTGTCTGTTAGTTTGTGTCTGTTAGTTTGTGTCTGTTAGTGTGTGTATGTTAGTGTGTGTATGTTAGTGTGTGTGTCTGTTAGTGTTAGTGTGTGTGTCTGTTAGTGTTAGTGTGTATGTATGTTAGTGTTAGTGTATGTATGTTAGTGTTAGTGTATGTATGTTAGTGTCTGTTTGCCTGTGAGTGTGTGTGTGTTTGCCTGTGAGTGTGTGTGTCTGTTAGTGAGTGTGTGTCTGTTAGTGACTGTGTGTTTCTGTTAGCTAGTGAATGCGTATCTGTCAGTGAATGTGTGTGTATTTAGAAGGCGGAGCAGGGGGGAAGGTTGGGTGGCGGTTGCGTGGGTGGGGGTGGCGCGGGGGGTGCCTGAGTTTTGTCCTGCCTAGGGCAGCACAAAACCAGGATACACCACTGCTCTTACCCCAGTAGGCCGCACGTGGATTCCTGCTTCCCTAGCTCCGACGGGCTCCGGGGTGGTATCAGTCGGTTAAGTGGTGCACCCCCGACGTGGATGGTGCACCCCAGAGGGTCCTTGGGCTGTGTAGCCGCTGCTTTTGCCCCAGATTTTGCCCGCTGTGCAGGAGCTCGTGCTGTACACGTCTGCACAGCTCGGTGGTCAGGCTCCGCCCCCCCAGTACAGATTTTTTAATCACCCGCACAGGTACAGCCCAAAAACATCTGCATAGCACATTGATACTTTGCATAACAAAACAGGATTTTATTTGATCACTAGTAATGCCGATGCCTCCTCTTTTTCTTTTTGCGCATCACCTTTAGGTAAGCGTATCCCTTGGATAATGTTGGGGTGTGATTTCTTTTTGCATTGTACAACATGAGAAATTATTAAAATTTTCATGAACCAAGACATTGCCCTATTACGTTCTTCATATTACTGTGGGCCCTTGCAAAGCCCAGTCCATGGAGGCGCCTGTGATAGACAATGTCATGCATAATAATAAATTATAATTAACATAAATAAAGGGAAATGTCGAGAAGGGGAGTATAATCATTAAAATAGAAGGAGCATAAGGAAAGGACCCCCCCTCCCGCCCCCCCCCCAAAAAAAACACAACAAATGACAATGCCGCTTTAAATAAATTATCAACACACATATGACAAAAAGAGTCTTAAGGTTTTGACAAACAAAAACAAACTGGGTGTGGATTTGACAGACATCCAGTGGAAGAATCCAAGTCAAACTTAGCATCTCACCGTGGACTTTCCACTGATCTTGGCGAGGTTTATACATTAAGGGTCCCACCAAGGGTGAATGTCAGCTCTGTAGTTAACTATTCAGACCAATGAAATGAATTAGGAACCAAAAAAAACAAACCCCCCCTAATTACTATTTGAAATGGTTTTCTAATCACATGTTTTGTTTTAATTATTGCTCCACAGACCATACTAGTACTCGGTGAGTCACTGGTTGCAGGCATTAAGACGTTTCTTGCACAGTGATGACTTGGTATTCCAGATGTTGGTGAAATACCATTAAGACTATTAGAGCATGATGGGAATTGCAGTTCACGATCACCCAGACCTGCCAAGAATAGCCATCAGTTCTCAAAACATCTTTAGATTTAAAGTCTTTAGATGACCTATATTTCCGAAATTCATATGGAAAACAAAGTATACATTTCTTAATCAGTCTAATAAAATATGACCTTCTTCTCTCCTCTGGATAATTACTGGAAAACTATTACATGAATGTAATGCAGATGTTTACTTGTGGATTGCTTTTTACTATGGAAAACATGGTTAATTAATTTAAGTGTGCTTGGCGTACACAAGATTGCACATGGCTAAATGCTGTGGTCTAAGCTGTGGTGGATTCATAAAGACTGCCTGCAGTACAACTTAAGTCCACCGGGGGCATCTGATTAATACACACACGTATATATATTTAAATCAGCCACAACATTAAAACCACTGACAGGTGAAGTGAATAGCATTTATTATATCGTTACAATGGTGGGATATATCAGGCAGCACGTGAACAATCAGTTCTTGAATTTCATGTGTCGGAAGCATGAAAAATGGGCAAGCGAAAAGATCTCAGTGACTTTGACAAGGGCCAAATAGTGATGGCAAAACGACTGGGTCAGAGCATTTCCAAAACAACAAGTCTTGTGTGGTGTTCCCTGTGCTATAGTTAGTGCCTACCAAGGAAGGACAACTGGTGTACCAGCGTCATGGTCATAGGTGCCCAAAGCTCCCTGATGCATGTGAGGAGATAAGGCTAGCCCATGTGGTCTGATCACACAGAAGAGCTACTGTAGCTCAAATTGTGTATTTCTAGTTATGATAGAAAGGTGTAAGAACACACAGTGCATCAAAATTAGCTGCGTATGGGGCTGCGATGCCACAGGCCTCTCAGAGTGCTCGTGATGTCCCCTGTCCACCGCTGAAAGCACCTTTAAAGGGGAAGTGTCAGAATTGGACCATGGAGTAATGGAAGAAGGTTGTCTGGTCTGACAAATTATGTTTTCTTTTATAACAGGTGGATGGTTGGTGTGTGTGTGTCGTTTATCTGGGGAAGAGATGGCAGCAGAATTCCCTATAGGAAGTAGCAGGCTGGCGGAGGCAGGATTATGCTCTGGGCAATGTTCTGCTGGTAAAGCTTTGGTCCTGGCAGTCATGTTAATTTGTGTCATGGCAGCCAATTTACTGCGCCTGTGGCGTCCACAAGGTCAGCAAACCCAGATCCTCCTGCCGCCTCCTCTGGTCCATCCGGCGACGTGGACCTGCGGCAGCTGCTCTTTCTTCCAAAGATGGCAGCCTCCATGCGGAAAACAGGGCCAGCATGAATGCAAACATGGTGGGCGGAATTAGGCCAATGATGCATCCTAAAATGGTGCTGAATCCCTCGGGCACCTTAAGAGGGTCATAAGACTCTGTTTGCAGGGAGAGGCCGGTCATGTGACAGTTCATGCCTTTAAATTCCCCTTTCTCCCTCCAGTCATTGCTCATTTGTTTTGTAGCCCAGTCTCAGTAACTTGTTTCATGGAGCTTTTGTGTGATTTCCTGGTTACCAGTATTTTGTCTCTCTCTCTGACAATGACTCCTGTTGCACGACCTGACCTTCAGACTACCTTTGACCTTGCCTCTCCGCCTTACCCCTTTGATCTGATGGCTTGATATTCTCCTATTAAATAAAGCACCCGTGATGTGTCCTGGTGGCAGTGGCCTCTTTCAGCAGGATAATACACCCTGCCACACTGCAAAAAATATTCAGGAATAGTTTAAGGAACATGACAAAGAGCTCAAGGTGTTGCCTTGGCCTTCAAATTGCCCAGATCTTGATCTGATTAAGCATCTTTGAGATGTGCTGGAAGAAAAATTCTGATTCATGGAGGCCCCACCTTGCAACTTGCAGGACTTAAAAAGGATCTGCTGCCAATGTATTGGTGCCAGATACCACAAGACACGTTAAGGGGTCATGTGTAGTCCATACCTTGATGTATGAACTGTTTTGGCAGGAAGAGGGGTCCTCCATGTTATAAGGCAGATGATTTTAATGTTGTGGCTGATAAGTATATATATTAAAATAATCCTGTAGTATATATATATATATATATATATATATATATATATGTACTAATTTAAAGGCCGATTTACAGATTATTGTAATAAAAACTAGAGTCATTTAATTAAGATAGTTTTCTATGTGCTCTAATTAGTAAACTGCATTAATACTTTAATAACTGCAGTTATTTCACTTAGAATCTCATAGCATACAGTTAGCCAAAACCCAGCCATCTCAAACTGGACTAAAAACAGATTATTAAACCTACACTTCATTACCTTTAAGCAGCATAAGAACAGGGACTTCCTTAAAAACAAAAAAAAAATCCTGAAATGTGTTAATTATTAAAGGTTAACAGAGTAGGGGTGACAGGTTGGATTCTGTAATTTAATATAATAATAGGTGATGGGGGGAGTGGGCATATTAAATCCAATTATTAGAGATATCAACACCAATATTACATGTGGGATGGGGAGCATAGGACCTGGAAATTGAGCATCTGCAGCAGGCATTGTACTCAGTATCTTGTTGTCTTTCCTTGATTAATAGGGTCCTGAGAACCCCATGTATTTTTGTAAAATTTTTTTAAACCTTTGCCCTCTAATTTAAATTCTTATTTTTCGTGCAGTGAATTACAAACTGGTCTGCAATGCCACAACAGCAAAACAAACCGACATATTCAAAAAAGGTATCCAATGTCTTGGTGTACAAGGGAAAATGCACATTTTTTATATATAATAGTCATGCTTATGCCAAAGATTTATATATATAGACATACAAGGGCCCTGGACATTGCCCGTAATATCAGCTTATAACAAGGAGTGAGTGGTCAGGCTAGTGGTAAGGTATTAGGAGATCAAGACGGTACAATAAGTTGCTTGTCAGGATGTCATATGTTAGTGAGATTGAATTTAAAATGAATAAAACAGACATTATAAGATGAGCGCTATTCCTGCATTAACACTGAGGCAAGGTGACAAGCCTGTGCTACATACAAACATTCTTAATAAACACATTTAGCTGGTCTGTGAGAGCGCGGATTCGAGTTTCTAGGTTTGTCAGGGTTAGTGAAAACACATGTGTAATATACTAGCGAGGTGTGTTAGTTTAGACAGTGTGTGGGGCTTGAGGTAACGGAATTAAGGGCCAGAGGCGTATCCAGCCTATCAAGCTTGGTTACAGGGTTATGTGTGCTGTGACAGGTTGATTTACCAAGAAAGCAAATAGGAGGGGGACCTTAGTGCCGCCATGTGTGCATCAAATAATAACAGTGCAAACACATATTAAGTCCCGCTCTGTCCACCGGGATGGGAGCTGGCCAAATAAGCTATTAACTGCAAGCTGTCCCCCGGTACCATTGGCTTGTTTGTACAGATGGTGTAGTCCTTAGCCCGGCATGGTGGGTATCGTGCTCGGGGTCGCAGGGTACTATCAGCCTGTACCTCAGCTCGGTGTAGCTGCCATTGCTCAGCCGATGCTGGCTCTGGAGGCCCACCGGTTATGCTGGAAGTGTCGGCATGAAGAGCTTCCCAGCAAGGTGTCTTCTCTGATGGGACGTAAGGGTGCTTTCAGGCCATGACTTGGTTTTATTTCTGGCTGTTTCGGCATGGGGAGGTACTCTGCAGGATGACCGCTGTGTGGTCTGCATTTCTGGGCCCACCATGTGCTCCTCGATGCCGTCACAGGGCTGTGTTTGAGGGGGTGCATGCTCCTCTCAGAGCTAGCGTCGCTCCGGCTCCGGGTGGTGTGCTTAGCAAAGGATAGTTTGTGCTTGCGGGAACTGGTGGTCTTTGTAGGGTGCCTCAGCGTGGGCTTACTTGTCGGCGCATAGCAGCGCTTTCGATGGCGCTGTTTCCTTGCTTGATTCCCTCTGGAGGTTATGCCTTGAGGATGGGAGCATGTGGGCTGCGGTGGCATGGCTTGACGTATTTCAGGTTTTCTCCAGAATGCCTTAAAGATGGCATTAAGTCGTGCCATAGTGTCGTCCCTGTTTAGTGCGTCGGGTTGTCTAATGGCTTTCGCCGCCATTTTGAGGTTTGGGGGCTCCGTCTTGGGTTGCCGTCCCACGACCCGGATGGGCACTTCTGGGAGCGGGATAACCCCCGCCGGTCCATAGCGGGGGAACGAAGGCCCATGAACCTGTTTCTAGCCTTAGAGGGCTGCGGGGGAGCGGCCTCCTCCCCCATGCTGCCCATGCTTGTAGGCCGCAGGTGTCTCTCCATAAAGTCTTGTCAGTTGGGCTGCTTGTTTGGTATCGGCAGGTGCCCCTTGGTTTCACCTCCCAGTAAGTGGTCCTTTGGAGTCAATTAAATGCTGTTTGTGGCTGATTAGTCGAAGTTTTGCCGATCTGGAGCAGGAGCAGCTCTGTCCTGCGACCGCTCAGCTCGACGGTCAGGCCCCGCCCCCCTTGTATGGTTTTTAAGGGTGTGTGTCATCTGGACAAGAAAATCTCTGGAATTCTAAATTACATATTGTCCTGTTGGTTTGTGTATTACACAGAGCACAGGGAATTGAGCAGAACGCATAATAATAACGCTCACTTTTTAAATTACTTTAATAAATACAATCAAATGATGGAATTTAACCTTCGCTTTGATAAATACCCACCATTGTTTCCTAACTCCTTGTGGGATTCTCTCGACTTGTTACAAAATGTGCCTCCTTTCTGTCTTCCCAGGGTCGAACTGAGTAACATTCCGATCTCTGGCTGTCTAGGGGCAGGGGGGTAGAGGGGGGGCAGAGCATCAGGTGTTTTATAGCCAGTGCAAGCAACTGAAAATCTATTGCTGGCACTGGTAACATTTCTTCTACAGGGATTTTAAAAAATCAGCTGTAATGCAGCTTAACATGGGTCACCACCACTGCTACTAGAGATCATTGCTGCCTAAAAAGCAGCCTCTCCAGATCTCTTGGCAGAGCTGATTACTAAATTAAGCCATATGTTGGGATAGTCTCTGAGGGCACCATGTTCTAGAATTAAATTGGAGTGTAAACCATTTTAAATTAAGACAAGAAAACAAAATCTTTTTTTTTTCTTCTGAAACACAGATTGTAAGATTTTTTTTTTTTGTATATTAGCTATTATTTACATTCAGACGTTTCTAATGGTAAGACAAGCCGGGTCAGCTGACGGTAGTTATGGTTGCACTTTGTTACTCACCGGTCTCCAGAAGCTGTCTGACCACGGTGAAGTTAGACTGAGACACCGCGTAGTGGACGGCCGTGTTTCCCTTTGGATCTGCCATATTGACAATGGACTCCAATAGTTGCTGAGACATGGCTCGGAAGACGGTTAAGTGATGGCGAATGATTGCTGGATCTACTTCTTTCTGGCGCAGAATCTTCATCCATTCTTGCAGTACGGCTGCGCGTGCTGCTGTCTGTGCATAAAACCATATTGTTTAATGTGCAATCTAATTATTCCTTCATTTCACCTCTAGGCTCTGACTGTTTGGGGGCAGCAATAGTTTTTTTTTTATTTGTTTAAAATTCTGAATTGGGGCTAATTTAATAAATCGTGCTATTAAATATCACTGTGACCTCTGCTTTTGACCAGCACAATGGTCATTATTTCTAAATCAATAAATGTGGAGAATTATCTAAAGAATTTTAAGCCATAACAGTCCAGTTGGAACTAATCTACCAGTCTCTAGCTATTTTTCCATTTTACCCTTAAATTTATTATTTATTTTATTAAATTCAAAAGATAAAGTTGAGAACATGATGTAAGAATATTAAAGTTACTCTGCCACTTTCAAGATTTACATGTTTTGAAAAGACCCGCAAAGGGGATGGCATGCCTACTTGGTGTGCCGCAATGGGGGAGAAATACTTGAAGCTCTCCCTCATAATTCAGATTATCGAATTGTATATGATATATGAACATTTTCATCTAAGGCTGCACAGAGATGTGAAGAATGCATTATGTCACTCATCTGCTACATCAAATTGTAAACTCAGGAGATCAAACGTGTTTTTTACCTTCTCTGCGTCTGTAAGAGTGGTAGGGTCATCTAAAGACTTCTGAAGGGCTACACAGCCAGAGATCAAAATGTTACTCAGTTCTACCCTGGGAATACAGAAAGGAGGCATATTTTATAAAATGTCTGGAGAATCCCAGAGGGAGTTAGGAGACAATGGGGTATTTATCAATGTGAGGGTTAAATTACGTCATTATTTTAATATATTCATTAAAGTATTCTAAAGTGATTTAAAAAGTGACAGTTTTCTTTATAGTACATTCCACCAGTTTTGCAGAAATACCGATTGCAGAAGACTGCCAAACTGAGAGAAGCACAAACAAGAGGGAGCTATGGGATATGGAGTCTGTCCCTCCCAGCACAGGGTGACACAGACAGGAGGGAACTATGGGACATGGAGTCCGTCTCTCTCACAGCACAGGGTGACACAGACAGGAGTGAGCTATGGGATATGGAGTCTGTCCCTCCAAGCACAGGGTGACTCAGACAGGAGGAAGCTATGGGATATGGAGTCTGTCCCTCCCAGCACAGGGTGACACAGACAGGAGGAAGCTATGGGACATGGAGTCCGTCTCTCTCACAGCACAGTGTGACACAGACAGGAGTGAGCTATGGGACATGGAGTCTGTCCCTCCAAGCACAGGGTGACATAGACAAGAGGGAGCTATGGGATATGGAGTCTGTCCCTCCCAGCACAGGGTGACACAGACAGGAGGGAACTATGGGACATGGAGTCCGTCTCTCTCACAGCACAGGGTGACACAGACAGGAGTGAGCTATGGGATATGGAGTCTGTCCCTCCAAGCACAGGGTGACTCAGACAGGAGGAAGCTATGGGATATGGAGTCTGTCCCTCCCAGCACAGGGTGACACAGACAGGAGGAAGCTATGGGACATGGAGTCCGTCTCTCTCACAGCACAGGGTGACACAGACAGGAGTGAGCTATGGGACATGGAGTCTGTCCCTCCAAGCACAGGGTGACATAGACAGGAGGGAGCTATGGGACATGGAGTCTGTCCCTCCCAGCACAGGGTGACACAGACAGGAGGGAACTATGGGACATGGAGTCTGTCCCTCCCAGCACAGGGTGACACAGACAGGAGGGAGCTATGGGATATGGAGTCTGTCCCTCCTAGCACAGGGTGACACAGACAGGAGGGAACTATGGGACATGGAGTCTGTCCCTCCCAGCACAGGGTGACACAGACAGGAGGGAGCTATGGGACATGGAGTCCGTCTCTCTCACAGCACAGGGTGACATAGACAGGAGGAAGCTATGGGACATGGAGTCTGTCCCTCCCAGCACAGGGTGACACAGACAGGAGGGAGCTATGGGACATGGAGTCTGTCGCTCCCAGCACAGGGTGACACAGACAGGAGGAAGCTATTGGACATGGAGTCTGTCCCTCCCAGCACAGGGTGACACAGACAGGAGGGAACTATAGAACATAAAGAGTGTCTCTCCCAGCACAAGCTTACAGAAAAGGAGATAAAGGACGTGGGGCTGAGCTTTTACCTCGGTGTAGGTTTTGTAGGTGACAAGATAACTACAAGTGACTCTGTCTTTTCTTTCTCTGTATCTTTTGGAGTCAGGACACTGGGGGCAACATGCAAGTGAACCTCGGTTTGCGGCCCTGTCAGCCCCTCACTGGCTTCGTGGTATTCACTCTCTGTGCTCTCACTGTCTGACGGATTTTCCATGGTGCCAGAATCCTCTGATGATGCAGAATCCATTCTAAGAGAAAACAAAAATATAATCTCCATTCAGAACCCATCAACAAAAAGTACATAGACTCCATGGAGGTACAATAATAAATAAAGATATATATATCAGTGCAGTGTTGTGAGACTGAACCTTAACCTAGTATTGTTACGTCTGTGACTGCCACATAAAGTGTGCATATACAGATTTCTTGAAGGGTTTTACACAAGTTGGAAAAACACACAACACGACACAGCTGCATATTTTTATTCTATGATTTGATATTTTTGGTACATGGAGCAGCTGCTGGTAAGGAGACTGTAAAATATATAAGAAATATTTCCTGTGCTTTTTACCAAACCTATAAATAAACGTAATAAGCACAAAGTGTATCTATAAATAAAATGATAAATATCAGTCCTATAAACAAAGTGGATAAATATGAGACCTAGAAATACATTGATTATTTATAGGCCTGTTCTAAATGTCAAACATGGTAAAAAACACACGATATCACATGCAAACTATTTGTGGTATATTTCCAATTGGCAGCAACTATTGGAATTTAGGCTGCCCAGCCTCAGAGACATGGATTGCAAGATGCGTTCGTTTCTCTGTTGCATTTGGTATCACCATAAGGCTTTCTTACAGACTTTTTACAGACTGAAGCCATCGGCTATTCTCATGTGTGTTTACTGGAGCATTATTTATTCTGTTTTGATTTATGCTCCCCTCCCCATGCCCCTTTCATTGTATCCTAGTTATGGTCTACCTGGACACCCACCTTCTCACTTCTATGCTTGAGTTAAACATCACCATATAAGCTTAGCAAGGTACCCAAACTATGTAATAGCAACAGCCCCAGCTTCCCCTAACCACAAACACTAAATTGTTTGCTAACATTTTGTCCAGATAATTTTAGCAATACCGTCTGAATCGCACCCACTCTGACCAGTTCAGCATTATTCCACCGCAGGAAGCCAGTGACAAGAAAATCAAGGCGATTATGATGATACAGAGGGCTGTCTCTAGCTATATTTTATCGATTTTATCAATGGACGCAGGAAGCCTTTCCAATGGAGATCTTCTTAATCCTACCCAAAACTCAATCCATTATTCCACACTTGCTATTAGTGATACACGTCCCATAGGATTCTTCTTGCAGAAAATGTCAATCATGGTGTATACATATCTATTACATGCTAAGGACAGGACAGCCGTACCCCCTGCTCTCTAGCTTAACATTCTACCCAAACACGGTTTATCTCATTATTGCATACACCATTGTTTTGTATGCATCATTGTTACTGTTACTATAGAATTTACAAAAGAAAAAAAAATGTACTACATAATATCGAATATTCATCCTAGAAATGAAAGAGTATATTGCAGAATAACATAGCTTGACCTTGTAATGACTGGGTACGGAGAGGAAACGCAGAGTCATTTGAGTGAAGTAGTGGGAGAGTGGAATGTGAATGGGCGACAGAGATGTTGTGGAAGGAGTGTCGTGGGACTGGCAGAGGAGCTAGAGATATAATACCGTTATCTACTTAGCGATATAAAGAATAGTTAAGGGATGAGAATAATATAATAAGCTGATGAAGGAGAGAACGAAACAAAAAGATGATGTCACTTACTCTCCATTGACTCCTGTAAACTGAACAGGTTTTGTATCTTGTTCTCCTTCATAGTTTCCTTTGCTGACATTCGTTTGCTCCTTCAAAGTACCTAATTAAGAAAAAAATTATAATATACCACACCATATCTTATTGTTAGTATAGCACTTACATATGTTTGCAGCGACAATACGGATCAGACCTTTATGTAGTGCAATACTACAACTCGTGATGCATTGTCAGCTATAGTGAGCCGAAGGGTTCACAAAGGAGGTGGACATTCATTCAACGACCATTGACAAGCAAGCATTGCTGTGCTGGTCAGGATCATTCTCTCAGTGGTGTCTCTTTGCTACATTGTGTCTGTGCCTCGATACACCAGACTACACTGTGCAGTTCATAAGTTTCTTCTCTCAGTTGTGCCTCTTCTCCCCATCATATATCTGTGCATTTTCGTATTTAAACATAATGCTGTGTGTACCCTGAAATGCATTAGACTCATCCAATAATATAATATGCTCACTAGCCCTGTGTAGTGCCTGGTGTATAATGAACAGATCTGATTATTACCGGTGCTGGATCCTTCATTTCTTGCCGTTGGGTCTCCCGTGTGATCTATGTCTCGAGAGGCTTCCTGGGACACTGTTAAGGATGTGGTCAGATCCTCTCCTCTGTCTGTAACATTGGGATGTATTAAAAAAAGGGACAAAAAAACAACAAACTTGAAACATTCAGCCACATAAAATCTGTGTTTGGCAGCTCTAAGTGAAGCAATTTTAAAAATATTTCTGATAGAACTGTGCACTTCTGATTATTTTCACTATACATTCAGCAAGGTCTAGAACATGCCCATGCTGCTATTTGTAATCATTTGTTTAAAACAAATCAATAAAGCTTTTATCTACCAATCACTTTACACATCTCCATCGTGCCTCACCTCTCTTTTCGCAATCATTTGCATTTTGACCGGTGATGCTTATTTTCTTGACCATGTGGATGGTGACAGCTGGCCCAACTGATGTAAGGAATGGCTTTTCAAGCACTTCCCTGCTCCTGTAGACTCGCTCCTCTTCCCCTTCTCTTGGTTTAGTAACGCCTCCTCCAGGCCTGGCTTCCAGGCCTCTGGCTCTTTGCGGCTGTACACCAGGACCCACTTTGGTGCTAGAAACTACCTCGCTTCCTCTCTCCACCCTGGCCACCTTGACTGCATCTGCTCGCACGTCCTCCTTTTTCTCTTTCCTTTCCACCACTTCTGCTTTTCCTGCTTTTTCCGCTTCTTCCAGCTTCCGGTTGGCATTCTGAACTTCTGCCAAAGCTCGGGCAAGCTGCTTTTCCAAAACTGCTACTTTGGCAGACAATGCTTGGAGAAGAAGCTTCTGTTTGTCCACCTCTGGTTGCCTCAAAGTAACAGGGATGAGGTCTTTTTCTCTCACCCACACTCCAACACTGCATGTTGCTTTCCTGGGTGCCAAATATTCTTTGTTCATTTCATCTTTTGATTCCACCTTGTTTACTGCCGCTTCTCTCTGAAGTTCTCCAATCCCTAGTTTAGCATTATCTCTATGCTCATTCTCCTCTCTCCCATCCTTTGACTCTTCCTCTGGGATTTCGATGTACAGCTCCCCTCTTGCCTTGTTCCTGGAGCTTCCTCCTGGATGGCCCAGGTATTTCTGGCTCTTGAGTTGGACACTGAGCTGTCGCTTCTCCTCCTGCAGGACTGATATTTTCACTTGGAGAACTGGGATCATCTTGACCTGCTCCTCTAGCTGACGCAGTCTCTTGAGGGCGACTGCCATCTGCTCACGCACATGCTGGAGGTGGACCGGTGTAGGAGACACAGGAGTTGACATCCCAGAACTTAGTGGGGTAAAAGAGGAGAGCTGTTGACAAGACGAAGATGAGGGTAAGCGCGAAAGGGACGGAGTGGAAACAGAGCTGGAAGAACGGCAGCCCAGACTGAGTGGACGGGATTGTCCAGCCTCCAGCTTTTTACTGGCATCCATCAGTGTTCTCTCTACCCTGGGGTTGAAATTGTGGGGAGCCTGGGTTGCCCCCCGCACCTCATAGGCTGGGTAGAAGCTTCTCCCACAATAGGAATAAGAAGAGTGTCGGCTGAAATATATTAAAAAGCAATCAATATCTCAGCACTCATCCTAAGTACATTACTGGAAAACATAAATCACACATCTCAACACACTAGCTGGGAGACTGAACAGAGCTGAGTATTCTTCTCTGCTAAATCACTTTACTAAGTTCACCGCTTCAGTAAAAACATTTCAGTGTAGGTGGGTAATATTTCCATCTTAAACATTAGTAATACAATAAATGTTACACTATCTCTTGAAGCATTTTCCTTCATTTGTCTTATCCTTACTCTCGCACACTAGTACCTCTTTTACTTCTCCTGCCCCCGACTCCTTCCCAACAGATCTCACCTGTCATTACTGGCATTGGAGCACAGGGACTCAGTAGATGTCCACCAAGACCCGGTGTAACCAGGCCCACGCGGTAAGGATCCATACCGAGGTCTGCGGTGAACCGGCACTCGTTTAATAGTGTGACCTTTCTCAATATCATCCACATATTTAAGGAAATCCAAATCCAATCTGTAACCGTAAGGGGTCTCCACAGAGTACGGGACATCTGGGTCTTTCATCAATGATGAAGGTCCAGATTTTCCTGAAAAACAGGTGAACACAAGCTGATAAGAGATGCATGCCTGCTACACAAAATGCAGGTACTCCAAACTATAACAGATACATAGATAAACAAGCACAGATACTCACACTTATAAATTATACAAATGTATACAAAGCCCAGTTACTCCTGTTAATCACTGATACACATGTACACAATGCACACAGGAGCTCTCCCCCATTACCGATAAGAATGTATACAACACACAGCTAGTCTCATCCTTCACCCAGGCACATATACTGAAAGCAATAGGACCCACACGAATCTCAGACACCCTCCCTTGACAGACATGCATACATACAAAACACATTCCAATCTCTCACAGATACACATCTAAAGAAAGCAAAGATATTCCCATCCCTGATATACATGTGTACAAACAACCTAATAGTTGTAATAATCACAGATATATATATAGAAGAGGCAGGTACACCCACCCATCACTGATGCACATTCTAACCAATTATAACAATAATACACAGCACAAACACACGCAAGACTACATGTCAACTGTATGAAAACACAGCAAGTGCCATGCTCCCAAACACACACATAACTGCATGCCAACCTGTAGGTGCGGTAACCTGCAGCCGTGCCAGGATCTTCAAACCTAGTGTTCTCACATACTGGGCAGCAGCATCACTGGCTTCTCATCTTTAGAACTGCTGCATCTTGAGATGCCCAACAAATACTAAACACAATACCTTTTATCACACAGCGAACATCTCGTACCTGGGAAGTGGCTTTCCATGTGAAGAACCTGTGCCATCATGTCACCAAATTATTCTGTCCAAACACGGTACGATGACAATCTGCCTGAGATCACTGTGTAATCATGTCCTGCACAGAGAGACACAAAAAACAGACGTGTTAAACTACAGTCTGTCCCTCCCACTACTGTCTGAAACATACACACACATGGAGATTGTCCCTCCCACAATAGGGTCACAGACACATGGCTGGCTGTGGGACATGGAGTCTGTCCCTCCCAGCACAGGCTGGCACAGACAGGAGGGAGCTATGGGACACGGAGTCTGTCCCTCCCAGCACAAGGTGACACAGACAGGAGGGAGCTATGGGACATGGAGTCTGTCCCTCCTAGCACAGGGTGACATAGACAGGAGGAAGCTATGGGACATGGAGTCTGTCCCTCATAGCACAGGGTGACACAGACAGGAGGGAGCTATGGGACATGGAGTCTGTCCCTCCCAGCACAGGGTGACACAGACAGGAGGGAGCTATGGGACATGGAGTCTGTCCCTCCCAGCACAGGGTGACACAGACAGGAGGGAGCTATTGGACATGGAGTCTGTCCCTCCCAGCACAGGGTGACAGACAGGAGGGAGCCATGGGACATGGAGTCTGTCTATCCCAGCACAGTGTGACACAGACAGGAGGGAGTTATGGGACATGGAGTCTGTCCCACCCAGCACAGGGTGACACAGACAGGAGGGAGCTATGGGACGTGGAGTCTGTCTCTCCCAGCACAGGGTGACACAGACAGGAGGGAGCTATGGGACGTGGAGTCTGTCCCTCCCAGCACAGGGTGACACAGACAGGAGGGAACTATGGGACACGGAGTCTGTCCCTCCCAGCACAGGGTGACACAGACAGGAGGGAGCTATGGGACACGGAGTCTGTCCCTCCCAGCACAGGGTGACACAGACAGGAGGCAGCTATGGGACATGGAGTCTGTCTCTCCCAGCACAGGGTGACACAGACAGGAGGGAGCTATGGGACACGGAGTCTGTCCCTCCCAGCACAGGGTGACACAGACAGGAGGGAGCTATGGGACGTGGAGTCTGTCCCTCCCAGCACAGGGTGACACAGACAGGAGGGAGTTATGACTCTATTATCTTCAATCTATGTGAGGATTTACTTGAAAACTAGAATTCACACAAATGAGAACAGAAAGATATATAACAAGGGATGTAAGATACAAGCACTCTTAGCTCTCACATAACTCAAGCTCGGCTTGTCTCTTGCACTCTCTTATCATTACCATTTGTCCGAGTGGGGAGCGTCTTTCTCTCTCTCCATCACACGTCCTGTACATGACCTGTCACGAGTTTTCACTAATCACTTCTTCCTGAGACAAATCTCTTAGCTCTGTAGTCTCTTTCCTTAACCCTCTCTTTCCTTCATTGCTCAGTTAACTTGTTCCTTCCCTCCCACCCCATGTCTTGCTCAGTGTTCTAACAAGAAATCTACTGCTTCTCTCTTCTGTCCTCAGGCATTCTTTCCCCTCCTCACCTCTCCCCCACTGGTATCATACTATGTCATTTTTGTTTCTTATTCCCTAGACTCTCCTTCACCTGTTTTTCTTGTTAAATCCATCACTCCCATTTCCAATCTCTTTTCTCTTTACTTCAATTTTACTTCTCTTCCTTTCCATTCTCTCTCACTCTCTCTATCATCATCGAATCATGCGCTTCCCTCCTTCTTCAGACAGAGCCCCCCTTCTTGCGATGTCTTCACCCCGTCTCATTCGTGCCCCCATACATGCTTCAGTAATTCCGCTCTACTCTTGTTCTCATATTGTGCACCGCCTGTCCCCGTCACCGAGGATTCCCAGCTTGAAGTGACAGCAGGGTCTCTGTTTATTAGCTCTAAGCCATAACATCCCACAGTCTGTGCAGCTGTAACCTCTCCAGCCTGAACCATTCTTCTACAAATTAGCTCTATTTACCAGAACACTGAATTTCCTTTCTTTTTTCCTGTTTTACATGGCTCGCAGTTGCCTGCTGATGATTAAGTAATAAGTCCCGCCGTCACCCCTAGGCCCTGCTAGAAGCTCTTGAGCTGGACGAGTGCTGACGCAGAAACTGACCAAAAAATAAAATGCTTTCAAGTGAAATTTACATCAAATGTTGGAAACAAGTCATGTGCATGTTAAAGATATGAACCGACCAGAGGCCAAAACAAGATTTACATCTGATGTACGCCCTGGGTAGCAAACATGGGTGTCCAGTGGCCTTTTACATTAGCCAGACTTTTTATATGCAAAGAAATATCACTGTGTACTTTCAGTCTTGTTACAAGTTCCTCACGGCAAATATTCAGTGCTAGGCTCTGAGAAGGCAAGTTTGTGGGGGCTTGTAGTTAGGGGTCTCCTTATACAGAGAAAACTGCTAATTGTGGCACTCCAGATTTTCAAGTATGGCATTTCCCATGATGCTTTGCCAGTCCTGCAGCCATCACTGATCGAAGGTACCGTTCGATTATAGATCTGTTTGAGATACGGGGAGCCTGACTTGCCAATGGAATATTACAAATAGGGCGTATATGTCAAATGCCTATTGGCACAGGGCATTTAAACAGAGGGCGTTACACTGAATTCTAAGCCAACGTAACAAATCACCCAATGTATTTTCCAAATGGAAACTCTTAACTCTCAGGACTTTAAATGTAATTATTGATCAAGACAAAATGTTCAATTATATTTTAACGAGTATTGCTAGTAAATAGAATATATATGTTTTCTCATTATATATAGAGTGCTTTTCCGTGTTTACGATCTCTGTCCCAGGAAATGAAGAAAAAAAGAATGCCCGGCAATTAAAGGGTTATACGCTGTATCTAATGCTAAAGCTACATATGGGAGAGATTACACTTTGTACTACTCAAACACAAAGTAACTGTGCCAAGATTCACTTTAAAAATAATGATCTTAAAACATCAACTGTTAAACTAGAGCAGCGTTTCCCAATTGGTGTTCCGCGGATTTAGGGACACAAAATGGCCACCACATTCCAGGCCCCTCAGAGACACCCCAAGGGCACACAATAAATTGATAGCCAAACTGGCACTAGCCACTAGGCGAGCGATCGTGGAGAAATGGGGAAGCCCAGACACCCCACCCGTAGCTCTCATACAACAAAAAATTAACGAAACCATGAAAATGGATAAACTTACCGCCCTGGTACATGATACCACCAGACACTTCGACAAAATATGGGAACCATGGATCTTCGAATTCCCAACACTATAAGGTACTTACCGCCAAGGGAGGCACCAGGCGGGGGGTGGCCCCTGGGGAGGAATAACCTCGAAGGCCACCCCGGGCACCACACTTCGCCAACTAGGCTGCTTCTTTCCCGGAACCCCTATACCCACAACAAGAGACACCCAAACCGCTCACCCCAACCACACTAGACAAACACAGTCACACCGCTCAACATAAGATCCACCACACACAACCCTCCCTCCCCATCGCACCAAACCGACTGATCCCCATGAACCGCCCCAACTGCGCCAGCACCAGACCACGGACACTAACCACACAAGAATATACGAAACAATCAATCAGCGCGAACAGGAGCTCTACCCGGAGCACCCCCAACACAGACCACCATCCAGTCGGGGGCCCTAAACGCACCTACCACAAGCACCACACCACACGAGAAAGACAAGTGGGAACTACTTCCAGACCACCCCCGACAGAAATCACAACTCCGGATACAAAGAGCAAATAACCAATTACGACATAACCAACAGAGGCCACCCACCACACACCACACACAGAACAAGGAACATCTACCATGACCCCGACCAACACACTCTACCCTAGATGTCAGCCCAAGTTGAATCAAACAAAAAACCCACGGGAAGGCCCACAATCGACTTCAGACCAGCAGGGCCCACTCACTAGGGACCCACAAACTAACAGAGGCCACACCAAAAACAAAACATCAGGGGACAACAGGCCTACACACTAGGCAAACAGTCTAAAACCCCCACCAGACCCACTCCCTCTCCTCCCCCCATGCTAACCCTCACTCCCCCCGAAAAGAACCTCATAAACACACCGACCAAACACTGAACCAAACGGCACACTACGCACACAACCATGTAACTTTCGAACCAAAAATGTACGTGTTATAACTGTTGAAATATCAAATACTGCAACACAATGTTATACCTATCTACAAACCAGCTTCAGAACCCTCTCTCGGACTCGAGACCGAAGTCTTGCAGCAACAGCGAAGGACAGCACCAGTCACGGAACTAAAACTCTATAACTGCCTTTCCTTTAGGACTGTTTTGTAACGCATCAATGCAACTCACGGTCTCTATGAAAGTATGTTTGATCCCAAGTTTTCTTTTCTGTACCCTAACCCCCATATGACTGAAAATCCAAAATAAAGAATTTATAAAAAAAAAAATGGCCACCACAATAATTGAGGCGATGGCGAGGGAGCTGAGCAGGGGAGAGTGTTACCTGGCCGCCCGCCTCAATTATCGCGGCGCGCGCAGCAGTGATGCCAGAGCCAGAATATGATGTCACTCTGGCATCACTAAGAGGCGCGCTAGGGAGCTGAGCAGGAAGATCACTGCTCCCTTGCCTCCTGCACGCCAGCCACTCATCCCAGCAGCCCCACTGGACCCCAGGGACTGCACACCAGCTGCTCAGCTCAGCAGCCCCACTGGACCCCAGGGAAATAGAGACTCTATTAGGGAGGGAGGCTAGGTGGAGTGAAATTTTAAAAAAGAAATAAATTGTTTGTGTTTCTGTTAAGGAGTTTGTATGTGTGTGTGTGTATATGTGTGTTTGTCAGTAAGTGTGTGTTTGCTTGTCAGTGAGTGTGTGAGTGTGTATGTGTTTGTCAGTGAGAATGTATGTGTCAGAGTGTATAGGTGTTTGTAGGTCTGTCTGTCAAAGAGTATGTGTGTTTGTCAGTAAGAGTGTATGTGTGTCTGTCAAACAGTATGTGTGTCTGAGTGTGTGTATTTGTGTATGAAGGTTTGTGTATGTGTCACTGTGTGTATGTCAGTATGTGTGTATTGGTGTGTGTGTGCATGTGCCAGTGTATATAAGTGTGTTTGTATGTGCCTGTGTGTGTGTGTGTGTGTGTATGTCAGTGTGTGTGTATCTGAGTGTGTGTCAGTTTGTGTATATGACACTGTGTGTATGTGTCAATGTGTGTATCTGAGTGTGTGTATGTGCCAGTGTGTGTATCTGTGGGTGCAAGTGTGTGTATATGTCACTTTGTGTATATTTGTGAATAGATGTGTGTGTCTGTATGTCTGTGTGTGTATCTATGTGCCACTATGTGCCTGTGTGTGTGTGTGTGTGTGTATCTGTGTGTCAGATACATACACAAACAGAGATACACACTGACACACAGATACACACACTGGCACATACAAACACAGATACACACACCAGGGACATACAAACACAGATACACACGCTTTGACACATAGATACACACTGTGTGTCAAAGTTTGTGTATCTGTGTGTCAGTGTGTGTATCTGTGTGCTAATATGTGCCAGTGTGTGTGTATCTGTGTGTCAGATTCATACACACTGACACACAGATACACACACTGGCACAAACAAACACAAATACACACACTGATACACACTGATACACAGACACACACAAACACAGATACACACACTTTGACACACAAATACACACACCTTGACACACCGATGCATACACCTTGACACACAGATACATACATACATACATACACACATACAGATACACATGGTGTGTCTATCTGTGTGTCAGTGTGTGTATCTGTGCGCCACTATGTGCCAGTGTGTGTGTGTATCTGTGTGTCAGATACATACGCACACACACAGATACATATTGACACACAGATACACACTGGCACATACAAACACAGATACACACACCTTGACACACAGACACACACAAAAATGGCGCAAATTTTCTCTCTTTTTTTTTACATTCCACAGCATTTTAAAGGAAGGTACCTTCCAAAACTGTATGCACCCCATGCCCCAAACCTAACCGTGGCGCCATTTAAAGAACCTAACCCCTTGTGTAACCATTTCTATACCATAACAGACTTGGTACGTTCCTGGTCTTAAAGAGGTTAAAATAGCTCCATTATTAGCTGAGCTGTAACGACAGGCAGGGGGTAGGTCACCTTTGGCACTCCAGATGTTGTGGACCACAACTCCCCTGATGCTTTACCAGCATCTGGAGTGCCAAAGGTTGCCTAGCATGGTGCTGTTTCAGTATTACAAAAAACAACATTCAATATTCAAAACATTTACAGCAGCATTCCAAATGTATACAGCTTAAATAATACTAACAGTCAGTCACAAGGTGCACATACAACGGCCCATTCCTCTGTATGAAAATAAATACACCTAAGATTTGCACGTCAACTGAAAGGGTTAAATCTATCAGTAACCAACACATAGCTAGCGATAGTGGCATGAGTCACTTGTTGCCCCCTCTCTGCTGCTGTCACAAGAACAGTTTGCAGCTGGTGAGATAGTCTGCAAAGAAACTTTTACATGTGACTCCATGTGAGTTGAAAAAGTCTTATCTCTTTTGCCCATCATGGTTATTTATTAGACATTCGCTGCGTGCAAAAAAAAAAGGGAGTGTCTGATAATCACTATGTGAACTGATAACGCTGAATATGAGTTATTGTAGAGATAGGCAACGTTCATCTTCCCCAGCTATAAGCAACGAGAAATCAATAAAACAGCAATGTCATTTTGCAATTTTTTTGTATTTAATCCTTTTTTTTGTCCCGGTTTCACCCATTTATATTATGTTGAAATTCGCCGTCGTTTTTACATGTATTCATAAAGACATGAAAAATAAAAATAACAGCACCACTTTCAAGCCAAAAAACCATTTGAATCTTCTAATATAATGTACAACATCCATGTGAACATACTACATGTAGGGTAGTAGTATGATGAAATGATGTCAGCCATCTTGCTTGATCTGCAATGCATGCCTATTTTGTATGGTCATCAATGAATGAATCAACCAACTCATACCACTGTTGGGAGGTATGTAATAATGCCATACAGAAACGGGCACCACCAGCATGATGGGAATGCCGATTACTAACATTATCTCAGAAAGGACAGAAAAAAGAACTTGAAAAACAGTTATAGTTATACCTGGGTTCTACGAGGTATCTAAAGGCCCCAATGCAGAGACTCAGCTAAGGTGGATGTGAACCTTGAATTACAATGACCAGCTAAGGCAGCTGGGGGCAAGTTAGCTCTCAGCCTACCCTTGTTGAACAGGGAGAAGATGAGGCATCCAGAGACACCAAGGACTTGTGGAAGATCCCTAATACGAGGCCCCAAGAAGCAATTATTGGAGATTGGGGCTTAGTGCAGTACATTCTGGGACTCTGCACCGCTTTTTCAACAGCTTAGCCCTCAGAAACAGAGCTTTATGGGGAGCACTCTGCTTTGGGGATAGCATTGTAAGGCACCCAGGTGTCTGGTAATTAATTAACTTACCTGGACGTTGATTGAGTTATGTAACAGACGCCAAAGTGCCGCCTGGGATTGTATTATTTGGTTTGATGACTCACTGTTGGGAATGCCTAAATAAATATATGCCAGTTGTTGAATAAAATGTCTGTTTTACCCTTCATTAAGCCACGGTGGATGTTTGGGAATAACGCTGTAACCAATTTAGATGTCCTGACCAATGTTTCGGCACCTACTGGCTGAGTTGGGGGTATTGGGGGCTCGTGTTTCTGCCAGAATAGGCTTGTGAGGATTGTGGTAATTATTACTGTTTGTTTTGTTATGCCTATATATTGTTACTTTATATTTTGCTTAATGCTTATTGTACCAATTATTGGTTTATTAAAGTATTTGCATGACTCTTTGTAGTGATTCTAGTGTGCATTCTCTATTTCATATATTCTATGGTTTGGGTACTTGAGGTAGTACGTGGGAGCAATAGCACTTTGTGGTATTTTGTTTATAGATTTTCTCCATATGGAGTTATTGTGATATAAACCAAATACAGAACACAGATAAAGGAAATGCCTTCATGTCATTGGTTGTTAAACTGCTAAATTGGCATCTTGAGCACCATAACTAATACAGCCCGCTGTAATACTTAGGGTACCTGGCATGACGTAGCACTGGTTAGTAGTCAAACCATTTTTTGGTTTGTTTTTGTAAAAAAAATATGATTGCGTAGTTCAGCAAAACAGTCAAAGCTGGTAAGTCAGCGATGCAAAAATACATTTTATATGTGTATGAAAAAACAATGTTGTGTAATTGGGATAATTATGATCATCTGCTCAGCCGAAGTACTAGTAAAAACTCTCCATTCTTCTGCCCAAATGGTCCGATCAGAAAGAAATAGAATATGGCAATATGATCAATATATGAAATATGACTTCTGTCTGCCGGGTGAGAAAGGAAATAAGAGATATAAGTCAAACCGCTGTCTTACCGCCTGCGGCCCCAGAAACTGCTCCCGTTCTTCACCCGCAGAAGAATCCAGATATCGCTATAGAGCGACACAGAGCTGCGTTTATTGGCCGCAAGCGTCACCATAGTGCTCGCAGCCAATGATAGTGATCCTGGCCGGTTTTATTGTACAGAGAGAGGCGCCAAGAGAACCAAGGTAAGTTGTCAAACCATAACCGTTTAACCACATACCGAGGGATGGCCCCAGGGCATTCCTGGCCATATAACCAATACAGCGGACTGCAGTGGTTATGGTAATAGACTAATTCTTTAGTTGCATAAAGTCGTTTTTGTTTTTTACCCACTGAAACAGTAGCTTTATCTCTCTTATTTGGGGATACTGCGACAGTCTGTGGACATGTTAGCTGAGTGCTTAATCAACTGGGCCTGTGTGCCAAAAGTGTCTTGTAATGACATTATCAAAACTGCCAATGAGGTATAATGTATGGCCAGTATATTGCCTTTCACAAGACGATGACTGTTCCCATCAGCCACTGCTCGCAAAAGCCAATGGAAAATAGCAAAGTGTGGTCGTTGCAGCTGCTTGAAGCTCCTGCATTTGCCGCATTTTGTCAAAACTGTCTGCTCAAAAGATAAAAGCGACTCAACTTCATCTTACAATATCTTCTGATTACACAGGGATTTTATTGAAATTCCACCATAGTCTTTATGAATTTTCTCCAAAATGACAATGTTTAACGAGCTGAAGTGCTTTATGTGTGTCCTCTTAATTTCTTTTTTTTTTTTATTCTTTATTTTACTTGTGCATGTGGTTACAAAACACGCTTGCAACGCCACGATAGCGACTGCGAGCAATTCCATGACAATCATTGGCATAGTTAAGAGGTTGCACATTTTACATTTGAAATGTATAACAAGCAAGTAATGCGTAGAGTGATTAAAGAAAATAAGTACACATGGTAAAGCAGGGTAAATATGACTTCGGTGTAGTGCCTAATGTGTACTAAAAATGTGCTTGAGACATCAACTTCACAACAACCGGTTGATACCTGATGTGTGAGAGATTAGTTTGCGTTTCTAGTGCATGTGCCCCTAGGTGAGCCCTACTGTGTTTTTAGTGAGCTGTTGCAGGGGTTGGGAGGGCTAGGTTCAGTAGTATGGTTATAATATAATATAATATTTTATTTTTTATTTTTCCCCCCCGCTGTTGCTGTGAATATGGTTGTGAGGTTGGGGGTGTTCGGTTGCAGGGTGTAAGATAGCCCTGTCCGCCGTTAATAGGTTTGTGTTGTTTTATATCTGATGAGGGCGGGCGGGGGGGGGAACGGAGGTTAATTAATCTGATGGGTGGCATAGGTCTATGTGTAATGTGTGTAGGTGGCTGGCATCATTATTTGTGTCCTGCTGTGTCCTCTTAATTTCAATAGAAATTGGCACTTTTATAAATTAGCTTGGTTCCACCCCCCTTGCTGTCAATCAGAAAACACTTCCTGATACTTCCTGGTTTGTTTAGCTCAGTGGAGCAAAATTCAAGAGGCAGAAATTGCCCAGAACACCTGCCTTGCAAAGACTTTTTGAGAAGTCTGCAATTGGACAGTCACAGAAAGTCTGGGCAGGGTTAGGAGGAGAGGCTTTGCAGAGGCTGCAGATAAGAGATCTGCAGCCTTTGCATATTTAAATACATGCATGTTTAGAATTGTGCTTTATCTACTAAACAGTAATATTTAACTTTTCTGTTTGCGCAGTGGAGTGTCCCTTAAAGTCACCATCCCAATTCTTATTTTAATATGTCTGTTACCCTTTGTATTCTATTTAATATATTAGCAGATTCTGCTCTGCCATTATGAAGACACCTAGACATTATGCAGAATGCCTGAGTAGCTTATGGCAATATAACAAGAACAAAAGATATTTAAAAAATGACACATTATAGTTTTACTATCCTGGTGATAAACATTACTCTTAACCTACATAGGTTTTATGTTTTGTTACTTTGTCGCTATAAAAACTTATATCCCACGTAATAATTTACTTTTATTTAGACACATTCCCAGCATGCCATTCCACAGCCTTATACATGATCCCCATGTTTAACGAAGTAGCAATCACTTGCATTTCTTCTCTGAAATAATATACTTAATCCTTTCCTCTACTTCTCTTTTTCCAAAGTCACTCAGAATTTCTGCTCTTCGTTAACCCTCTGTCTTATCCTACGTCTCTTCCCCTTTTATGGAATTCATTTTCTCAATAAATAAACAATTCTACCCCACTCTTGTTACTGGCCGGCAACCTGCCAGCACAGCCTCACCCAATGCAAACCCCGCTGGGAATAATTAGGGTCAAGGGGAACTCAGGCCTTTATACGGAGCGTACCTCTAGTCATAAGATAAAATGCAGAGTACACAGAAAATACAGCATTTGAATATGTTTACCTAGTGTATCTGTATTATGCCATAGATTTGCAAAGAAATAGAATTTTACAAGAACTCAGAATAAGGAATTCTGGATTAAATTTTTATATCAAGCTAATGGGGGGTTATAGAAAGAGGTTATATGGAGTAATAGGAGGAGTTATAGAGAGAGGTTACATGGAGTAATAGGAGGAGTTCTAGGGAGAGGTTATATGGATAATAGGAGGAGTTATAGGAGAGGTTATATGGAGTAATAGGAGGAGTTATAGAGAGGTTATATGGAGTAATAGGAGAGTTATAGAGAGAGGTTATATGGAGTAATAGGAGGAGTTATAGAGAGAGGTTATATGGAGTAATAGGAGGAGTTATAGAGAGAGGTTATATGGAGCAATAGGAGGAGTTATAGGGAGAGGTTATATGGAGTAATAGGAGGAGTTATAGGGAGAGGTTATATGGAGTAATAGGAGGAGTTATAGGGAGAGGTTATATGGAGTAATAGGAGGAGTTATAAGGAGAGTATATATGTAGCAATTAATAGGATGAGACTATGTAGAGTAAAAGGTAAAATAATGTAGAAAACACTTATACAAACTAATGGAAGTGAATTAGTTAAGAGGGCAGGGTCTCCCATTGTCTCAGTGACAGAAAGCAGACCCCTCTCCCCCTTCTTCTGGCATAAGATTAGAGGAGAAGCTGGAGTTCAGGAGAAATTAGATGAAATGCGTTATTTCAACACCAGGGAGCAGACAGACAGCTCTCAGTGCCCCATCTGAACTCATTCCAGAGCGAGTGCCTCACAACCCCTGTACAAGTAGAGTATTATAGGGTTTAACTAAAATATTATAGAACACATTGGAAACAGACAGTCTGTCCCTGCCAACTTAGGGTGACACAGACAGGAGGGAGCTATGGGACATGGAGTCTGTCCCTCCCAGCACAGGGTGACACAGACAGGAGGGAACTATGGGACATGGAGTCTGTCCCTCCCAGCACCGGGTGACACAGACAGGAGGGAGCTATGGGACATGGAGTCTGTCCCTCCCAGCACAGGGTGACACAGACAGGAGGGAACTATGGGACATGGAGTCTGTCCCTCCCAGCACAGCGTGACACAGACAGGAGGGAGCTATGGGACATGGAGTCTGTCCCTCCCAGCACAGGATGACACAGACAGAAGGGAGCTATGGGACATGGAGTCTGTCCCTCCCAGCGCAGGGTGACACAGACAGGAGGGAACTATGGGACATGGAGTCTGTCCCACCCAGCACAGGCTGACACAGGACAGGAGGGAGCTATGGGACATGGAGTCTGTCCCTCCCAGCACAGGGTGACACAGACAGGAGGGAGCTATGGGACATGGAGTCTGTCCCTCCCAGCACAGGGTGACACAGACAGGAGGGAGCTATGGGACATGGAGTCTGTCCCTCCCAGCACAGGTGACACAGACAGCACAGACAGGGAGGGAGCTATGGGACATGGAGTCTGTCCCTCCCAGCACAGGGTGACACAGACAGGAGGGAGCTATGGGACATGGAGTCTGTCCCTCCCAGCACAGGGTGACACAGACAGGAGGGAGCTATGGGACATGGAGTCTGTCCCTCCCAGCACAGGGTGACACAGACAGGAGGAAGCTATGGGACATGGAGTCTGTCCCTCCCAACACAGGGTGACACAGACAGGAGGAAGCTATGGGACATGGAGTCTGTCCCTCCCAACACAGGGTGACACAGACAGGAGGAAGTTATGGGACATGGAGTCTGTCCCTCCCAACACAGGGTGACACAGACAGGAGGGAGCTATGGGACATGGAGTTTGTCCCTCCCAGAGTGACACCAAAAGGAGGTACAGAGCGTAACATATCTAACCTCTAAATATCATAAAAATGTACCAAAACGGAAAAAGTCTTTCTTACTTTTGTTCACGTCATGCTGTACCCCACAAGCAAACACCTATGATACAGGAGAAAACAGAATAATGAGAAGAAGATTGTCCCTTAAAAAAAAAAATAATAATAATTATAATTGAATTAATATGACAGCAAGACAACACATAACTGGCAAACTTAAAGATACACTATAGTCATCAGAACAACTACAGGCAGGCTTTTTGCAGTAAACTTTGTCTTTTCAGAAAAAAGGCAGTGTTTACATTACAGCCTGGGGACAGTGGCCAGTCCTCAGATGGCTACTAGAGGTGCTTCCTGGGGCATTGATTCAATGCATCTTTATGATGATATACGGATTGGCAAGGGCAGCGTTTGGCTCTGCCCCGGCACACCTCGTCAATTCATCAGACTTGACAATCTCAGCCAATTCAATGCTTTGCTATAGAAAAGCATTGTGATTGGCTGAGATCATCACTTCTGATGATGTCAGCCAAGGAGCCAGATCAGGGGCAGAGCTAGCACGGCAGACTGGAAATAAGATAGTGATTTTAGCACTTTAGGGTTTGTGCTTCTGACACTATAGTGTTCCTTTACCTATACAAGGGGTAGGCAACCTATGGTACGTGTGCCATGCCTGGCACTCTAGGTGCTTTTGCATGGCACTCAAGGCTGCTAGAGACAATTAGGTTCTGGCCTATCAGGAGTCCCAGTGAAACTTCAGATATCTGCTAATACGAAAAGGTGATGAAGGACAATCCTCAATTTATGAATTGCAGCACGTGGAAGAAGTGATCTCAGATCATATGCTCCCAGTACTTGTGAATGGGAATCCACACTGGATAGTAGAGCAGCCCTCGGCAGCTATTGCAGCTCCTGCCCTTGACATGTATATGGTCAGCCTGGTACCCACTGGAACCCAAGGAAGCCACCCACACTCCTATATATACACAGAGATGCAGAATAACCCTCCCCTCATACAAATAATAGCAGCCCACACACAAACATACACACAATCCGCACAAACTCAACACCACTGACAATCCATATACATGCACACAACGCCACATGCAGCCTCTCACATGCAATACCCTAAACAGCCCCACACATACACACACTACCAAACACACAATGTGACATACACAGCCGACATTCATAGGTATCATACACGATACCACAAACTACGCATGAACACATACAACATAATAGCTCATATACACACAAATACAACGATACAAAGCAACTACAGTATAAATAACACAAGCAGAATATGGCAACATGCACACCTCAATTTTAAGAAAATAGGACCGGCACGCTACAGGCCATCACAATCTTATTTCAGCCTGACCTATACCATTATACCACTAGCAAAATTAACTTTTCTCATAGCAGCCATGTTGCCATATAAATTGAGAGAGCTTGAAGTATTTTATCCAATAAAATGCCCCAATTTATCTTTTTTGTGATAATATTATTTGTCAGAGTTTTACAAATAGAGAAATCACAGAGATATTGATGTTTTTTCAAAATGTATTTATTTATCTTTTCACTCACTAAACTGGAAATTGAGGAGAACTGATGAGAGCACTGGAAAATTAAAGTCAAAATTAAGAAATTCAATTAGAACCCATTCAGGGTAAAACAGTACACAGGACCGCGTCTACTACATTCCAACTAGGTGTAGAAGGTTTAGATTGTAGTATGTAGAATTTACAATATGTTATGTGCATTGATTACTATATTTAATGTTTACCATGTGGTAATTTCTGTGAAATGAGCTGTGTGTGTGGTGTAATTATGTGATCTATAAATTGTATACATTGTATACCACAATATATGTTACTGACTGAGCTCTATGTAACGCAGCTGAGAGATGGGTTTGAAGATGCCTTTAGAATTGTATGTCACAGTTTAAATATCAGTCGTCACCTAATGTCCGGCTCCTAATTTTAGTAGACAAATAAACTAGGTAAAGGACACATTTTAGGGGGGATGCTATACACAAGGAAAAGTAGTCTATCCCTACTGTTATTTATATATTTAATGAACACAAGACCACTCAGGAAATAAATCACAAGAGGTTCAGACACATGGGGCAATATAGAAGCAGATTAGATGATGATTATTTTGGTAACAGGACATTTTTAATTAAAGAGACAACCCCTATCCCCAATGTAGAAAGGAATGCACCAGGAAAACAGATTGGGACTGGATAAATGAAACAAACAGATTGAATCTACAAAATAAACAAGAGCCATGCTTGGGACTGGGGATTGCTAGATACGAGTAAACTAATCCTCATGGATACTCAATGGTACCCATTTTACAAATGTTTCATCAATACTGCAACAGGACTCGAAAATGTCTAAACTATTTAGGGGAATACTGGTTTGGTGAATAACGCCCTAGGGGAAGAAACAGACAGGGATAGTCAACAAAGTGAGAATTTCAAATGTTAGGCTAAAGTAGCCAAACTGAAAGCATAGATGGTAGCTTAGAGAATTTTTCCAGTTCGGTTTCTTTGGCCTTAGATTTGAAATTTACTTTGAATTCTCACTGTAGTAAATACCTATTGGAATGTAGATTATGTATGGAACTTGTAGAACAGAGACAAAGCATTGAGCATCGATGCCAGTCAGAGTGTCTGTCCAAATATCATTAAAAAATATAGTACACAAGGGCTCGGGCAGGAAGCCATGGTGGAACCGTGTGTTTAGAACCACGAGCCATTATTCACATTAAATATTTCTGAAGGGGACGAAGGTGGAGGGTAGGGTTGTATTTCTGAGCAATTATCATTTTGTTTAACCCCTTAAGGACACATGACATGTGTGACATGTCATGATTCCCTTTTATTCCAGAAGTTTGGTCCTTAAGGGGTTAAGCGGTACATGAAAAACAGAATAGTTTGCAGAATATACAGACTGCGTGAAGGAAAGTGATTAGTTGATTGATTTTCCCTTCCAGCATTTGAATACTAACTTCTACAGGGCATATTTTTCATGTAATGCCCATCAATATGAAGGGATTCCCTTCCCAGAAAATATAGTGGTGTCAGCAACGCTAGGTGAGTCAGACATTGAGCAAAACTACCATGAATTACTTCGCTGGATGAACCTGGACGCCCATTTTGGTGTAAACTGCTCCTAACGCCTGAAGTTGAAGGGTTTGAAGCAGAGTAGATGGAACGCAAGCAATAAAGCATCAGGCCAATTAAACCAGAGACTGACACAGCTAGCCCACCGCTACACAGTGAAACGCCAGCACCACAGCTCATATGGAAAGCGTTTTAATGGATTAATAAATACCTTGGCAGCCCCTACCACAGTGCGAAGAATAAACCAAGTCTGGCATGGACTACAATGACAATATGAATACACAGCCTGGCACCTCCGCACGGTACAACAAGTCTGCGAAGATTGGGTTAATGGAAAACAGAACCTGGCACCTATAGGACTGGACTCAAAGAATACAGAGCCTGGCACCTCTAGGACTGGACTCAAATACAGAGCCTGGCACCTCTAGGACTAGACTCAAAGAATACAGAGCCTGGCACCTCTAGGACTGGACTCAAATACAGAGCCTGACACCTATAGGACTAGACTCAAAGAATACAGAGCCTGGCACCTCTAGGACTAGACTCAAAGAATACAGAGCCTGGCACCTCTAGGACTGGACTCAAATACAGAGCCTGGCACCTCTAGGACTAGACTCAAAGAATACAGAGCCTGGCACCTCTAGGACTGGACTCAAATACAGAGCCTGACACCTATAGGACTAGACTCAAAGAATACAGAGCCTGGCACCTCTAGGACTAGACTCAAAGAATACAGAGCCTGGCACCTCTAGGACTGGACTCAAATACAGAGCCTGGCACCTCTAGGACTAGACTCAAAGAATACAGAGCCTGGCACCTCTAGGAATGGACTCAAATACAGAGCCTGACACCTATAGGACGGGACTCAAAGAATACAGAACCTGGCACCTCTAGGACTGGACTCAAATACAGAGCCTGACACCTCTAGGACTGGACTCAAAGAATACAGAGCCTGGCACCACTAGGACTGGACTCAAAGAATACAGAACCTGTCACCTCTCGGACTAGACTCAAAGAATACAGAGCCTGACACCTCTAGGACCGGACTCAAATACAGAGCCTGACACCTGTAGGACTGGACTCAAAGAATACAGAACCTGGTACCTCTAGGATGGGACTAAAAGAATACAGAGCCTGGCACCTCTAGGATTTATTATTTTTTACTATATCCCATTGGCTTCCTACTTTGCCTTGCTGTTAAAAGAAGGGTTGGTGCCCCCCTCCAGAGGCACCTAAGTCTACCATCCAGAGCCAGGTTCTCATTGGCTCAAAAGAAGGTGAGCACCACCATAACTACTGTGTATGTAACTATTAAGTCAAAACATAGTACACTAGGGGGCTTCTCCCCTTTTTCTCCTTTTTTCTTTCTTTGAGGAAATTCTAATCCAGTCAAAGGGTGCAGTGTCTCCTTACGACACTACGGTGAAAGTGACTTGAGCCTGTCCTGTTTGAGGCTCTATTCCATGTGAGTTTGACCATTGTTATAACATCAAAAATCCCCATTATTTATAGATTTACACTATATTGTGTTGTATTGTGTTTTCTTTACTTTTATGTATCAACATACATCTGAGATTTAACCCTAAATTAGGGTAAGTGAAAATATATAGCGCTTCACTCATTCGACTAGTAAGGTCTGGATTCATACCCAGTTCATACTAGATTCACTTTGGTTCAAAGAATACAGAGCTTGACACTTCTAGGACCAGACTCAAATACAGAGCCTGACACCTCTAGGACAGGACTCAAAGAATACAGAACCTGACACCTCTAGGACTGGACTCAAATACAGAGCCTGGCCAAATACAGGGCCTGGTACCTCTAGGACTGGACTCAAAGAATACAGAGCCTGGCACCTCTAGGACTGGACGCAAAGAATACAGAGCCTGACACCTCTAGGACTAGACTCAAGAAATACAGAGCCTGACACCTCTAGGACTAGACTCAAGAAATACAGAGCCTGGCACCTCTAGGACTGGACTCAAAGAATACAGAGCCTGGTACCTCTAGGACAGAATACAGAGCCTGACACCTCTAGGACAGAATACAGAGCCTGGCACCTCTAGGACTGGACTCAAAGAATACAGAGCCTGGCACCTATAGGACAGAATACAGAGCCTGGCACCACTAGGACTGGACTCAAATACAGAGCCTGGCACCTCTAGGACTGGACTCAAAGAATACAGAGTCTGGCACCTCTAGGACAGAATACAGAGCCTGGCACCACTAGGACTGGACTCAAATACAGAGCCTGGCACCTCTAGGACTGGACTCAAATACAGAGCCTGGTACCTCTAGGACAGAATGCAGGGAATACACAGTGAGGTACCTATAGGACAGAATACATACATAACAGAGACTGAAGCTCTGATTATGCGAAGATGATATACATTGGCACCACTAGGATTCTACAAAGGGGACACAGAACCTTGTGGCACCTCTAGGACTAGGATAAGACAGATGTTGTTTCAGCTCTCATGGATATTATTAGTTACATGTGTAGAGCAGGGAGAGCGGTCTGGAAATGGCCCAGAAACACAAAGGAGCATTTATAGCAGCATGTAAAATATGGATGGAGAGAGGGACTGGGGGTCAATGAGAGAGAGAGAGAGAGATAGCTAAGGAAGGACGTGATGAAAAAAGAGAGAGAAGGAGTTAATTGGAAACAGATAAAAGAGAGAGAGGGGATGAAAACGAAGACAGTAGAGTGCATGAGAATAAAAAGGGCAGAAAGAGAGAGGAGGGGAAATAAACTAAGCAGGAAATGAGAAAGGGACAGCAAAGAGTGTCAGGAGGGGACGAGAGCAGAGAGAGAGTGTCAGGAGGGGACGAGAACACGGAGAGTGTCAGGAGGGGACGAGAGCACGGAGAGTGTCAGGAGGGGGCGAGAGCAGAGAGAGAGTGTCAGGAGGGGGTGAGAGCACAGAGAGTGTCAGGAGGAGACGAGAGCACAGAGAGTGTCAGGAGGGGATGAGAGCACGGAGAATGTCAGGAGGGGGTGAGAGTAAAGAGAGTGTCAGGAGGGGATGAGAGCAAAGAGAGTGTCAGGAGGGGGTGAGAGCAAAGAGAGTGTCAGGAGGGGATGAGAGTAAAGAGAGTGTCAGGAGGGGATACAAGCACAGAGAGTGTCAGGAGGGGGTGAGAGCAAAGAGAGTGTCAGTAGAGAATGAGAGAAGAGAGAGTGTCAGGAGGGGATGAGAGTAAAGAGAGTGTCAGGAGGGGATGAGAGTAAAGAGAGTGTCAGGAGGGGATACGAGCACAGAGAGTGTCAGGAGGGAACGAGAGTAGAGAGTATGAGGAGGTAAGGAGGGGAAATGAGAGCATGCCGGTGATTATAAGGAACCAACGAGAGAGAGAGGTAGAGGGTGTGAGAGAGAGAGTGTGTGAGTATATGTGGTTTGAGAAGCGAGAAATTTAATGTGAATTTAAAATTTAAGGTCAAAACAGCCGAACTGGAAACATTGTCAGCTAGTCAGCTATTCTGATAGTGCGGCTACTCGGGCCTTAAATCTGAAATTCACTTTGAAATATCACTTAATAACCGATAGGAATGAGAGAAGAGAGTGAGAGACAGAGAGACAGAGAATACAGAGAGAGTGAGAGACAGAGAATAGAGAGAGAGTGAGAGACAGAGAATGGAGTGAGAGACAGAGAAGAGAGTGAGACAGAGAATAGAGTGAGAGACAGAGAATGGAGTGAGAGACAGAGAATAGAGAGTGACAGAGAATAGAGTGAGGGTGAGAAACAGAGAATGGAGTGAGAGACAGAGAATAGAGAGAGACAGAGAATAGAGAGACAGAGAGTGAGAGACAGAATATAGAGAGACAGAGAATAGAGAGAGACAGAGAGTGAGAGAATAGAGATAGACAGACAATAGAGTGAGAGACAGACAATAGAGTGAGAGACAGAGAATAGAGAGAGACAGAGAATAGAGTGAGAGACAGAGAATAGAGAGAGTGAGAGAGAATAGAGAGAGTGAGAGACAGAGAAGAGAGTGAGAGACAGAGAATGAGAGTGAGAGACAGAGAAGAGAGTGAGAGACAGAGAATAGAGTGAGAGTGAGAGACAGAGAGTGAGAGACAGAGAATGGAGTGAGAGAGAGAGAATGGAGTGAGAGACAGAGAGTGGAGTGAGAGAGAGAGAATGGAGTGAGAGACAGAGAGTGAGAGACACAGAAGAGAGTGAGAGAGAGTGAGAGACAGAGAATGGAGTGAGAGACAGAGAGTGAGAGACACAGAAGAGAGTGAGAGACAGAGAGTGAGAGACAGAGAATGGAGTGAGAGAGAGAGAGAGAGAATGGAGTGAGAGACAGAGAATGAGAGACACAGAAGAGAGTGAGAGACAGAGAGTTGTGTTAGTACAGACTGAGAGGGAAGCGGTGTGTAGGAGAACATTATGGACACAGAGAGCTGACATGATGGGGGTTTATTTACAATTTATGACATGTGTAGACTGTGCTAAGGCGCTGCCGTTTTGATGTGCACAGATGAACTGATAGTCTGACAGACAGAGAAACAAGAAACTCACGCACATGGATAAAATACAGACTATATACCCAGTGCAAGGGCTGCTCTGTACACATAATCCAGCTCTGCATGTACATACATGGCCTATACATACAACATGTCACCCTGCATGTACACACACTGTCTATACATACAACATGTCACCCTACATGTACACACACTGCCTATACATACAACATGTCACCCTGCATGTACACACACTGCCTATACATACAACATGTCACCCTGCATGTACACACACTGCCTATACATACAACATGTCACCCTGCATGTACACACACTGCCTATACATACAACATGTCACCCTGCATGTACACACACTGCCTATACATACAACAGGTCACCATGCATGCACACACACTGTCTATACATACATGTCACCCTGCATGTACACACACTGCCTATACATACAACATGTAACCCTGAATGTACACACACTGCCTATACATACAACACGTCACCCTGCATGTACACACACTGTCTATACATACAACATGTCACCCTGCATGTACACACACTGCCTATACATACAGCAGGTCACCATGCATGTACGCACACTGCCTAAACATACAACATGTCACCCTGCATGTACACACACTGCCTATACATACAACAGGTCACCATGCATGTACACACACTGTCTATACATACATGTCACCCTGCATGTACACACACTGCCTATACATACAACATGTAACCCTGAATGTACACACACTGCCTATACATACAACACGTCACCCTGCATGTACACACAATGTCTATACATACAACATGTCACCCTGCATGTACACACACTGCCTATACATACAGCAGGTCACCATGCATGTACGCACACTGCCTAAACATACAACATGTCACCCTGCATGTACACACACTGCCTATACATACAACATGTCACCATGCATGTACACACACTGTTTATACATACAACAGGTCACCATGCATGTACACACACTGCCTATACATACAACAGGTCACCATGCATGTACACACACTGTTTATACATACAACAGGTCACTCTGCATGTACACACACTGGCTATACATACAACATGTCACCATGCATGTACACACAGTGTCTATACATACTACAGGTCACCCTGCATGTACACACACTGTATATACATACATGTCACCCTGCATGTACACACACACTGTCTATACATACTACAAGTCATCCTGCATGTACACACACTGCCTATACATACAACAGGTCACCATGCATGTGCACACACTATCTATACATAAAACAGGTCACCCTGTGTGTACACACACTGTATGTACATACAACAGGTCACTCTGCATGTACACACACTGGCTATACATACAACAAGTCACCCTGCATGTGCACACACTATCTACACATACAACCCTGAATGTACACACACTGTCTATACATACAACAGGTCACCCTGCATGTGCACACACTATCTACATACAACAGGTAATCCTGCATGTACACACACTAGCTATACATACAACAGGTCACCCTGCATGTACACACAGGTCTATACATACAACATGTCATGCTCCATGTACACACACTGTCTACATACAACATGTCACCCTGCATGTACACACACTGTCTATACATACAATATGTCTGTCTGAGTAAACACACTCTGCACATACAACACACTGTTTTGCATGTATATGTATTGTTTATGCATACAAGGTGCTACGCAGCAACACACACACTGTCTATACATACAACATGCTACTCAGCATTTACACATTATGTCTATTCGTAGAACATAGTGCTTTGCATATATACTTGTTGTGTATACATACAATGTGCTATGTGGCATACGCACACTGATAATACATACAAGATGATACTTTGCATGTACACACATGTTCCATGTATAAAACAGCCTGCTCTGCCTGTACACACACTGTACATAGAACAATCTGCATACAGAGATGTTTGTTGTGTATATGCAGAACACTCTTCTCACACAGTTTCTCTATATGAATAAAATATACATAAATACACATAGGTATCTGTTACTTTCCATGTCATCGATACCACAATACATGCCTGTATGTATAAACACAGACACATGTTAGCATTCCTCCACTAATAATATAGCAGAGATAAGGAATAACAGCATCTGAAACCCTTTTACTGACAGAATGCAACCCATTACACAGCAACACACTGCACGACCAACACACTGCACGACCAACACACTGCAACACACTGCACAACCAACACACTGCACCACCAACACATTGCACATCCCATTACACAGCAACCCACTGCACGACCAACACACTGCAACACCAACACACTGCATCGCTAACACACTGCACATCCCATTACATAGCAACACACTGCACGACCAACACACTGCACGACCAACACACTGCAACACCAACACACTGCACATCCCATTACACAGCAACACACTGCACGACCAACACACTGCACGACCAACACACTGCACATCCCATTACACAGCAACACACTGCACGACCAACACACTGCACAACCAACACACTGCACATCCCATTACACAGCAACACACTGCATGACCAACACACTGCACATTCCATTACACATCAACATACTGCACAACCAACACACTGCACATCCCATTACACACAAACACACTGCACCACCAACACACAGCACATTCCATTACAAACCAACACACTGCACGACCAACACACTGCATGACCAATACACTGCACCACCAACTGCACATCCCATTACACTGCACCACCAACACACTGCAACACACTGCACATCCCATTACACAGCAACACACTGCATGACCAATACACTGCACCACCAACTGCACATCCCATTACACTGCACCACCAACACACTGCAACACACTGCACATCCCATTACACAGCAACACACTGCATGACCAACACACTGCAACACACTGCACCACCAAAACACTGCAACACACTGCACATCCCATTACACAGCACCACCAACACACTGCAACACAATTCACATCCCATTACACAGCAACACACTGCATGACCAACACACTGCAACACACTGCACCACCAACACACTGCACATCCCATTACACAGCAACACACTGCATGACCAACACACTGAACATTCCATTACACATCAACACACTGCACAACCAACACACTGCACATCCCATTACACACAAACACACTGCACCACCAACACACAGCACATTCCATTACAAACCAACACACTGCACGACCAACACACTGCACAACCCATTACACAGAAACACACTGCATGACCAATACACTGCACCATCAACTGCACATCCCATTACACTGCACCACCAACACACTGCAACACACTGCACATCCCATTACACAGCAACACACTGCACATTCCATTACACAGCAACACACTGCACCACCAACACACTGCAACACACTGCACATCCCATTACACAGCAACACACATTACAACCAACACACTGCACGGCCAACACAAGTTAATCACTGAATGAGTTAAGATGCGCACACACTATATGGTTTATTCAATGAACACTGAAAAAAGTTATGGATTGTGGGGAAAAAAAGCTACAGTCACAGATTCTTTATTTCATGATTAATTTTGCCAATCAGTTCCAGCTCACTACAATTCGGTCTTAGCGAGAAAACCCTTAAATGTCATCAGCTGTGTGTGCCCATATTTGGGTCTGCTCTGTTTATATTAAGAAGTCAGTGGAATGCGCAGCGAGCTAACTATTTCACCAACGCACACTTATTATTACATTACACATTTCAGCTCTGACATTTCTCTACTCAGAAAAGGCGATAACCTGTTTTTTTTATATTTTCAGTACAGTAAAAGCAAATCACTGGAATTATCATGTGTTTAATGTTTTATTCAAATATTGACCACGGGTCAGTGATATTCTCCCTGCCCCTCAACTGTCCGGATTTCAATGGGACCATCCCAGCCATATTACCAAATTATCCCGGCCATGTTCCCAAATTATCCCAGCCATGTTACCAAATTATCCTAGCCATGTTACCAAATTGTCCCGGCCATATTACCAAATTGTCCCCAGCCATATTACCAAATTATCCCAGCCATGTTACCAAATTATCCCGGCCATGTTACCAAATTATCCCAGCCATATTACCAAATTATCCCGGCCATATTACCAAATTATCCCAGCCATGTTACCAAATTATCCCAGCCATGTTACCAAATTATCCCAGCCACATTACCAAATTATCCCCAGCCAGCACAGCGTAGCGCATCATTAGACGTGCTCACACTGGGACCACTAGCGCTTCAAGCCTGCTCTGACTGGGGACAGCCTGGAGACTGTGATTCAGCTTGGCAAACGTTTATTACTTCTATGGGCAGCCCCGACTCCTTGCCAAGTGGGACGGACAGTTTTCTGATTGGCATCTAGCACGCTCCCTTTAGGCCAATTTCATACCTCCCAATATTGCGACGTGTGTAGTATGTAGGATTCATGTTCTGCAGCTAATGTACTCTTTAACCTCCTGCAGCATATCAACACTATATTATCCAAAGCAGCTCTTTTTATTTGCTAAGAAAAAAACATGGTGGATCTAGCAGCGTTAGTTCCATATTCAATAGGACAGGTCCCAATTTGGCTACAGGGTGCGTGTTACCAATCCTAATGAAATTAGTTAATTGAAAGTGAATATTTGGTTTGTTTACTTATTGTACAGCGTTCTGTCCTTTCTTCTGAAAACAAACTTAAAAAAGTATTTCTCGTGATATCATCAGACTGAGCTCCAAGCAGTTTCATATTTTATTATGCACCCACACATATCTCTGGTTCATTAAAGAACTGCCAAGTCTATGGAGGAGAATAAACTGGATTACACAAATGATCTGCAAATCACTACAAACACAGTAAGTTATAAATCAAAGCACTTCTAAAACGGTTTGTCGTAAAGCTATGGTACGACCAGGTGCCCTATCAAATTGGACTATTTGGCAAACTAACAAGAGGCTTTGCCCATTTAAAACATTTGCACATTTTTAACTAAGTCATGAATAGTCAAAATAAAAAAATTATTTTGATAAAAACCGTGTGTACGTAAAATGTTCACGTTACTCTGTGAAGAATTCAGTTCAACATGGCTTTCGGCGTCCATACTGAATTGGAATAAAGCTTACAAAATCTGGTTAATAAATCTAGATTGTAATAATTCTAGATTTAACAACTGGTTTGGCCAGCTATTACCGAAGTGTGACATTTATATTGTTGTTTACGACGTTTAGCAAATTAAATTTGAATGATAATATTTAGGAAAAAATATACGATTTGGAAAAAAAATTCCAACTCAGCTTTATTCATTTTTGCCATTAGGATTTAAATTTAAATTGACATTATAGGCACCCAGATCACTTTATCTCACTGAAGTGGTCTGGGTGAAGTCCATGTTCTCTTAACCCTGCAATGTAAACATTGCAGTTTATGAGAAACTGCAATAGTGTTAAGACTGCCTAGCTACTAGATGGCCACTCGAGGTGCTTCCTGCCGTTTAATAAAGTTTGACTCTGTAAAACAATGCTGGACGTCCTCACGTTTTGCATAAGGACGTCCAGTATGTTGAAAATCCCCATAGGAACGCACTGAGTCAATGCTTTCCTATGGGGAATGCCCAATGTGCGTGACGCTCGCCATGCATGCGCATTAGGTCCCCTATCGGCTGACATTGGCGGAGTAGGAGCCTGAACCCACCGCTGAGGGACACTGGTGCTGGAATCCGGTAAGTGTTTTAATGTTTATTTAACAAATTCATGGTGGGAGGGATGGTGGAGTGGGGACCAGGGAGGTTGTGGGGGCAGCTTTGTATCCCTTACACTATACTGTTCCTTTAATATTGCTGGATACGATATCCAAATGATTTAATATTGTTGGATAAACTTTTAATATGATTTAATATTATGAAAAAAATTATAATTTTTTTATACTTGAGATACATTTTGAAATTTTAATATTTTTAATAATAATAATAATAATAATAATAAAAAAAGGTTTATCCAAAATATGAAATCAAGGCCTTAAATTTGGTACAATCCAGTGTTTGGGAATAACCCTGCTAATCACTATTGACCTACTGAGTGCATTTTAATGGACTTAAAGTGTCCTCTTTAAAATGCCAGACTAATGTTAAAAGTCTATTAGTCTATTAACGGTAACAGTCTATTACATTACTCCCCATCACAGCTACTCTGAGTTTCACACAATGTGCCCCCCTTACTGCTGTCCCAGAACGTTTACACTCATACACAGCACAAAGTGTGGGTGTTACACTAATGGCAGGCCAGACCACGTTTAGCGAGTGACTGTGATGAGAGATTGCAGAGTAAAGGAGGGGGAGGGTGGGTTAACCTGAGTCTTGGCTGTACAGACTAACAGCTGGATGCTGTCTGGTACCCAAATCAGAGACAGGAGGGGAGGCAGGGATCCAGGGGAAGAGGCAGACATGGGAGAAGTGGTGGGAACGAAGACAGGAGGAGGTTTAGATTTAGACATGGAAAAAAAAAAAAGTATAAAAGAATAAAGCTATTTTATTTATTGACAAAAAAGATAAGCGCAATGTTACGGCGACTATTTGTATTTCAATTTGCAAGTTATATACAACATCACTATTATTTATTACTATTAACACATTCCACAGCAAGGCTTGCCAATTCCACCATGTGTTCGTGGATGCACATCACTTCTTCATGCTGGTGGGCGGCAGAACAAAAGTACTACCCTTAGTATGTAGCGTTCATAGGCAGGGGTTCAAAGCTTCCTTCGAGATCCCTGCTTCAACAAATAATTGGTTTCCTTTCCTGAAGCATATGAAAGCTACATACTGCAGGACAACAATTTTCATCCTCAGCGTATGGAAACGGCGTGGTGGGATTGATGGGAACAGGGACTGATGAGAACTGGGGCATTGAGTTTACATTCTAAAGGAAGTCATTGGGGCAATTAAGAAACAGTAAGGGTCAGAGGAGTCATATCCATAGGGCAGATTTTTTTCAAGTTTTACATTAAAAAAAATATAAAATTATAAAGATGTAATAAAATGTATTGTCTTGCGAAGGACACATGATAATGAAGTTTTAGAAACTGACATGCTGTGTCTGTCATGATTAGTTTTGCAGTTTCCTTCTCTCTTATTGATGGCTAGAGATAGTAATCATACCAAGATGGTAAAATTACCAATTTTCTGGATATAGAACGTTGAGACAACAGGAATTCTGACATAACCCATTGACTCTGCATTGGGCAGTCAGATCGTCAGAGTCCAAAAAGATAGGCTTGCTTACTGTCCTGTCTTCTAGGGCATTCATTGGGTAATAAGGTCAGAGGGGGTTGGACCTCTTTAACCCCTTAAGGACACATGACATGTGTGATATGTCATGATTCCCTTTTATTCCAGAAGTTTGGTCCTTAAGGGGTCAAATTGGCTGTTGTTTCTCAAAAACGTGCATGTATAGTTTTATGGTATTGAACAGAACATGACGGGTTGATTACGGGGAGGTTAAATGCAAGTCAGGGGGTAGAGTCAAATTCTGAGGGTAGTCTAGCACCCCAACCATCGTTAAAGTTCCCATCTGCCGCTGAGTACGATATGTTGTCACAGGTGTGATATTTAATCTGCAAAGGAAGTCAAAACATCTTTTATTGCTACATAAAAACGCCCGTCTGTCTAAGATGAAAAATAGGAGTTTCAGAGAACGCTGTGGAGACCCTGCACACAGAACTTTTCCATATCACTTTCATCCTGACCCAACTCTGATATATGTATTGCAATATTTATAGTGCCGGTACTGCAACTTAAGCAAGCTCAGTCAGTCAGAGCTATTGGGGATACTAATTACCATTACTCTTAGGCAGCCGAGGCATGTAGTGAAAGAGGCTGCTGGTCTCTAGTGTTTAGTTCTGTAGTATCAAACTCTGAACACATTGTAAACAAGTGGAAGTGCCCCGCAGGGGGCCAGCGTCGCCGATCGCACAAACAGGGTCTGATGTCACACTGATGGGCGGCATTCCTCGAAATGTTAACCCATCGAGCAGTCGATGCTTTACCTGTTGAAATTGCCAACAAACTCCACAACTTTAAATCTAGACACACTGCGGAATTTTGGGAACACACTGGCAATTAAACTATCCGAATGGATTCTATCCTAAATAGCAAAAATAATCTAGAACGATCTAGAAGTGTTTAGAAGATAAAATATGGACTACCTCAATATTATCTATTAGTCGCTAAATAAAAGAAGACATCTTTCGAACGCATGTTAATTCACGCTGGATTTAATCTATTCTGGATTGTTAGCGAAGTCAAACGCATTGATAATTAGACAGAACTGGTAGCGGTCTACCTACAAACCCAGTCCAACCGGATAGTGGGATTTAGGTTGGACCACATTTTCTTCCATTTTAATAGAAGCTACCATTGCACAAAGACGGCATTAGCACCATTTTGACTTCTAACTCCATATTTCAGATACTAAGTTTATATTACATTATTAATGTATTTGTAATTTTTATTTGAATGTTATATTATTATTATTATTATAATGTTTATAATTATTATTATTGGACTCAATTCCCTGTGGGCTGCTTGCACTGTTAGTCGAAAAATATTACGTATTTCTGTAGGTTCACCTGCACAAACCTAGTGAATTCGCGTACAAATCTATCTTCTACCGGTTTTGTTTATAGTGAATCTGCATGGAATTCGGTGTTTGATAAACGCGAATCCTTGTATTTTATCGATTTAGCTTGTATGGTAGAAATACTGATTTTAAAGCCCACACCAGACAGCAAGCAGCGAATGAGATGTGATTATTTGGTTAAAATGAGAGGATTTCAACTGGATTTCCCTGTTGTAAATATGCCAAAGGCAAATCCTGGGACAAAGATGTTGATATTTAATGCGAGTCTGGTGCGATTCTAGTGAATAACCCTTATTGTGGGATTTATAGGGTATTCTGGCAGTCAGAGGGTTAACCCATCTACCAAGACCATCTTTTACCCAGTACGGTCTGTCTCTCTATCCTCCAGAAACTCTCTACCGTCCACGTCAGTCTCACTATCCCTCTCTCTCGCCATCGTTCCCTAAAGTGCGTTTTATTCCCTCCCTGGTTCTCTCCTTCCTCCCTCACTTTCTTTAAATTGTCAAACACTGCTTTTATGACTCACTTATTCCTGACATGGCTGTCTCATGGGAACCTGCATGTGACTTCAGGGAAAGCACTTAGCAATATAACCCTTAATCTGGCTCCTACTGGCCATGCAGAACGCAAAATCATTATCCTAGACCCAAAATACAAACCAGACCCTGCCAGAACATACGCCAGTTTTACCAAAACACATACACAGGGCTGCTGAGAATACAATGGGGGTAAAGGGGGTTAATGACAACACCATACTGTGAGAGTACAATGGGAGGTAGACGGGGTTAATGCCAACTATCTGCTGTGAGAATACAATGGGGGGTAGATGGGGTTAATGCCAACTCTCTAGGTAAGGGTACAATGGGGGTAGAGGGGATTAATGCCAACTCTCTAGGTGAGAATAAAATTGGGTAGAGGGGGTTAATGCCAACTCTCTAGGTTAGGGTACAATGGGGGTAGAGGGGATTAATGCCAACTCTCTAGGTAAGAATACAATGGGGGTAGAGGGGGTTAATGCCGACTATCTGCTGTGAGAATACAATGGGGGTAGAGGGGCTTAATGCCAACTCTCTAGGTGAGGGTACAATGGGGGGTAGAGGGGCTTAATGCCAACTCTCTAGGTGAGGGTACAATGGGGGGAAGAGGGGCTTAATGCCAACTCTCTAGGTGAGGGTACAATGGGGGTAGAGGGGATTAATGCCAACTCTCTAGGTGAGGGTACAATGGGGGGTAAAGGGGATTAATGCCAACTCTCTAGGTGAGGGTACAATGGGGGTAGAGGGGATTAATGCCAACTCTATAGTGCAGTGGGTACAATGGGGTTTTTAAAGTGGTTTGAAGCTTTTAGGGGTACTTAATGTGGTTATATTGTGTGAGGGTACAATTTGGGGGTTAGAGACAGTTGTGTGGTGTGGAGGTATAACAGGGAGTTTAATACCAGCTCTGCCATGAGGTTATAATTAAATTGACAGAGTATAATAGGGAGAAAATTCCACCTGTGAGGGTATAATGGAGGTTAATGCCAGCTGTGGGGGTATAATGGAGGTTAATGCCAGCTGTGATTGTATAATGGAGGTTACTGCAATGAGGTGTGACATAGTATAATAGGTCGTTAATGCCAGTTGTGGATGGTATATATAGGTTTAGTACAGCGGGTGGTGAGAGTTATAATGTGCGAGATTTTCTGGTTTATTAACTAAACATAACATTGAATTTTGTTTCCAAATGGGTGATTTTTGCCTAAACTATATGTCTGGTTTTAATTTTGGGGCAATTTAGTGCTTAGTGAGTACGGCCCTCTGTCTGTTTGTATATTTAAGGATGTTCTGTGGGTGGTAAGTGTTAATGAGAGAGATAGAGTCTGTCTGTGAGGTCCTGACACCTCTGGCGATAGAAAGGAAATAATCAGTTAATTAGTTCACACTGACTAGTGAGGAGATGGAGCGATGATAAATAGCCACATGTCACACATCTACCGCAGGACAGGCCAACCATCCACCTGGTCAGCATGCGGCCCATCACTGCTACCATAGGAAGAGGAATTGGCGAGGCCAGTGGGCTCCTTATAGAACCCTCATAATTCCACAATTAAGTTTTAAAACTGGAGCAATCACCATGGATACAATGAAATGTGACTCACGACTGCTTTCTTAATGGGGAACTCTAAAACACCATAACCACTGCAGCCCATGTTTACCGTTTTAAAAAAATGGTTTGACACATAACTAGCTGCTGGTGACAGGGGGGAAATCCTGGTACCATAACTACTACAGCGCACAAATAAACTGTCATTCTGATATACGACTAAGCGTGATTCGTGCTGGAAAAACAAGCAATTAGCAGGAATATTTTTCTATGATAATTTAAATTTCAAATTCTTTTCCGTACCATTATTTTTTCAAGAGATGATCTGGAGGGAACTATTTCTTCTTGCTGCATATGAATTCTACATACAGTGGGGGAGCACTTTTCATGTGCATCCCAAAAATAAAGAGAAACTGTGTTCAAGAAAACCCTGTGGATTTGATCTCCAGTTCCCAGGATTTGAAGCATCTTAAGCCAAACAATTAAAATTATATTTGTAAATTCATTATATACATATGCATACGATGCTCATCTGTCCCATTTCTGCAATACTGCCATTGTTTAATTCTCCTGACCCCTATCCTTCTCACAGCAGTCTTTAGATTATTCTCACATAAAATCCATTTATACCATAGAGATGACATAGGCTTTCTGTCTCAATATCTAGGCCAGATCTTAGAACAAATTGTCTAGTTACACGGTCCATTTAATGCCTTCTCCTCACATTTTTAGCTTTAGGCGTTTATTCACTAAACAGTGAGCTGGGATAAGTTGTGAACTGATCTGCCCTATTTGAACCAAGATAGGGAAAAATAAAAACACGTTTCAGAATGATTTGCACAAACAATAAAATGATCAACTCTGGTAATGTTGCAAGCTTTCTGAAATAGGATGAGGGGTCTGTAATGACATCTTTCTAAATTAGACTGCAATTTCTCTAAAACAGACCACGAGATCTAAAATAAACTGCAATTTCTCCAAAACAGACCACGAGATCTAAAATAGACTGCAATTTCTCTAGAAGCAGACCACAACTTCTAAATTAGACTGTAAGCTCTCTAGAGCAGACCACGAGATCTAAAGTTGACTGCAAGCTCTCTAGAGCACACTACAAGATCTAAATTAGATTGCAGGCTCTTTAGAGCAGACCATTATATCTAAAGTTGACTGCAAGCTCTCTAGTGCACACCACAGGATCTAAATTAGACGGCAAGCTCTCTAGAGCAGACCACTATATCTAAATTAGACTGCAAGCTCTCTAGAGCAGACCACGAGATCTAAAATAAGCTGCAAGCTGTTAAGGGCGAATGTAAACAGATTGGTCTCTAGAGAAGACTGCACTCCCCCCCGCCCCCCCAGTATTACCCATCTCTTTCTCTCCCCCCTTGCTAATTTCAGTGGGTTTATACACAAAACAGAAAACTGTGGAGAATTACCAATGGGAATGTAAATTTGAAGGCACTTTTCACTTATTTACTATTTACTTATTTATTTAAGTGACAACTGTTTGGAATTCAAAGTGAATTTCACATTTAAGGTCAAAGTAGCCGGATTGGAAGAATAAATGGATTGGACCGTTTTTCCAGTTCGGCTACTTTAGCCTTAAATTTGAAATTTACTTTAAATTACCAACAACTATTACTTTAGTAAATAAGCCTGAATTACTGAATTGGAAGCAGCTCCACTATATATCTCCATCGTGGATATTTTGATCTAAGATTTTAAATTCCTTTTATTGGATAAATTCCAGCGTCCAGCAGCCCTCAGCCTCTCCTTTCACTGCCTCCCTGACATCTCTGATCTGACTTTCTCTGTCTGACTCTGGTCTCCTTTTCAATCTCTTAATTTATTCTTTATAAACAGTTTCTCATGTAACCATCGTATGTTTTCTTTCTATATCTCCTTCCTTCCTCTGTACTTCCAGCTCTGCTCCATCCCCCTCAACCCCCCAATGCCGTCTGCTTCTCCCCATTTCTGTAACCCTCCTTTTCCACCGCCCTCCCCATCTCCTCTCAGTTTCACATCAGGACAGGGCGGCGGGTGCTGACTGTAACTCTGAACTTAACATCTGTCTTCCAGATGTTCTCACACCCGGGTGTGTCCCCCCCCTAAACCTGCCCAAGTAGGGCTTATGTTTCCAGCACACCCAATTCATGGATAAACAATTAACCCAGGAACATCTAATCACAATTACTCATCAGCCTTATTACCCTGTAACATCTTATTACAGTAACCTGGCTCCTGAGTGCCTTATTGCCCCCTGTAATATCTTATTACAGTAACCCGGCTCCTGAGTGCCTTATTACCCTGTAACATCTCATTACAGTAACCCGGCTCCTGAGTGCCTTATTACCCTGTAACATCTTATTACAGTAACCCAGTTCCTGAGTGCCTTATTACCCCGTAACATCTTATTACTGTAACCTGGCTCCTGAGTGCCTTATTACCCCCTGTAACATCTTATTACTGTAACCTGGCTCCTGAGTGCCTTATTACCCCCTGTAACATCTTATGACAGTAACCCGGCTCCTGAGTGCCTTATTACCCCGTAACATCTTATTACAGTAACCCGGCTCCTGAGTGCCTTATTACCCTGTAATATCTTATTACAGTAACCCGGCTCCTGAGTGCCTTAATACCCCGTAACATGTTATTACAGTAACCTGAGTGCCTTATTACCCTGTAACATCTTATTACAGTAAGCTGAGTCCCTTATTACCCTGTAACATCTTATTACAGTAACCCAGCTCCTGAGTGCCTTATTACCCTGTAACATCTTATTACAGTAACCCGGCTCCTGAGTGCCTTATTACCCTGTAACATCTTATTACAGTAACCCAGCTCCTGAGTGCCTTATTACCCTGTATCATCTTATTACCCTGTAGTCTTATTACAGTAACCCGGCTCCTGAGTGCCTTATTACCCTGTAACATCTTATTACAGTAACCCGGCTCCTGAGTGCCTTATTACCCTGTAACATCTTATTACAGTACCCGGCTCCTGAGTGCCTTATTACCCCGTAACATCTTATTACAGTAACCCGGCTCCTGAGTGCCTTATTACCCTGTAACATCTTATTACAGTAACCCGGCTCCTGTAGGCTGCCTTATTACCCTGTAACATCTTATTACAGTAACCCGGCTCCTGAGTGCCTTATTACCCTGTAACATCTTATTACAGTAACCCGGCTCCTGAGTGCCTTATTACCCTGTAACATCTTATTACAGTAACCCGGCTCCTGAGTGCCTTATTACCCTGTAACATCTTATTACAGTAACCCGGCTCCTGAGTGACTTATTACCCTGTAACATCTTATTACAGTAACCCGGCTCCTGAGTGCCTTATTACCCTGTAACACCTTATTACAGTAACCCGCTCCTGAGTGCCTTATTACCCTGTAACATCTTATTACAGTAACCCGGCTCCTGAGTGCCTTATTACCCTGTAACATCTTATTACATTAACCCGGCTCTTGAGTGCCTTATTACGCTATAACATCATATTACAGTACCCCGGGGTCCTGAGCGCCTTATTACCCTGTAGCATCTTATTACAGTAACCCGGCTCCTGAGTGCCTTATTACTACGTAACATCTTATTACAGTAACCCGGCTCCTGAATGCCTTATTACCCCGTAACATCTTATTACAGTAACCCGGCTCCTGAGCGCCTTATTACCCGGTAACATCTTATTACAGTAACCCATCTCCTGAGTGCCTTATTACCCCGTAGCATCTTATTACAGTACCCCGGGTCCTGAGTGCATTATTACCCCTCAGGAAAAATGTCCCCTGCTAACTACAGAAGCCGAAATGACGGAAACACGTTTTTAGCAGTTTTTACACAAGTGGGACGTTTACCAGTTTTGTTGCTATCTGGATTTTATTTGTATTTTTTTATGTTAATAAAGTAATTTTAAAGAAACCCAAAGGATTGAGGGGAGTCCAGGTTCCTGATACCTGATTTTAGGGAAGTGTCACCCCAAAAAGTAACCCTACATCTTTACACCTTAGAGCCGAGCAGTGAAAGGCTCTATATCAGGTGAGCAGTGTATATTTTCTGTTTGTTCGTCAAAATCCCAGACAGATTACACTATTGGTATCTCATTTTTTTTATTCCCGAGGCAAAGATTATTACCCTGTTTGAAGAAAGGTGGCGAGCTACCTGAAAAGGCACATTTGCAAATTGAGTGAGCCCCTATACATAGGCTCCACTCAATGTGAGTGCATCTATTACCTCTTACCATTTGTACCATCTACACTATATGTTGTTTTTTTATTGTCTTTTATGTCATTGAAGATTTTAACTCCCTGGAATCACATATACTAGAGGGTAAGATATTCCTAATGTATTTTTAGAGTTCTACTATTTGTTTATTTGCGTTTTAACTTTTATATCACTTTACGGGTTTTCTACACTTATAACAATTATTTTCACATTTTGTATTGTGAGGTTTGTGAGGTTATATTTCACGAGTGATTCTGAGCTGCTTTTTATTTTTACCGTTTGCACTAGAGCGTTTTTTTGCACACTATTTTTACTAAGTATCAGGGTTATCCACTAAAGTTAGAATTCAAAAAGGAATTTCAAATTTCAGTTCAAAATGGCTGAACTGGAAAAGTCAGCTATGCCTGCTGCTCAGCTAGTCTGGCCTTAAATTAGAAATTTACTTTATATTCTCACTTAAGAATTCTCAAAATTGTTAGATCAGAAAGACGTGAATGGTACAGCCAGAAGGAAACCACAGCTCTCGTTTTGCATGGATAAAATTCAAATAGACGGCCCACAAGTCTTGTGGAACAATATTTTCTGGACAGAAATGTTATAGTTAGGAATGGCCTATTCTAAGCCAAGACCGAGTCTACACAGAAATATGGTGCCACCTCTCAGAATCTAAGCATTTCTGTAAGAGCTCCCAACTGTCCCTGTTTAGGAAGGACAGTGCCTATTTTAGACCCAAATTCTCCCTGTCCTTCTTTTCAATATTGTTGGTGTGTCTGAGTGTATAACAGCAATAAAACTCCCAGAAACCTGTCTTTAAACTACAATAGATGTGTTTAGAAATCAGTCTGTGTAAATAAGATACATTGCTCTTGTTCTAAATTACATTTTAGTACAATCATTTTTTTTATTATTAGTAAATCACCTAAAATTACTTTAGATCAGTCCTACCCCTGACCACGCCTCCACTTACACCCCTAAATCTAAAGTGTCCCTCTTTAACCATTTAAAACGTTTGGAGGTATGAGAAAAGCGTGTTCCAAAAATCTCAGCTAAATAAATATATATGGACATTAGTATCTGGGCGCCATCTTGCCTTCACATGTCATACTGTTAGTACATAGCACGAATGATACTGTTACGCTCAACAGCCGGCCAGTGACGAGCGGAGAGCCTCAGCTCATACTCTTGGCAAATGTCTGGCCAACCTACCTGTTCACGTCGAAGGCCGGGTGAAAGGCAGAGAGCAGGCAGAGGTATCTGATACTGGGGGACCAACTTTGGGGTAAAACATCTGGAAAATTGATTAACCGCTGGAGAAAAGAAAGAGCCGAGCACTCCTGAACCCATAACTACGTTAAACCACCCACCACGCAGTCCTGGGAGTGAAAGGTCTGAGTTATTGGGTTGGGACGCAATATACGTTCTTCATGTTTCACGTATGGTTGGAGAAGGCACATCATATTGACCAGGCCTCAGGAAAGAGCCCACACTAAGCTGTTTTATTCACAGTTAAGTGTAGATCCCATTGATACTATCACTGCTATTCACTAAACTCACAATTTTCACAAATGAATGGCCAAAATTGAGGTAAAAATAGTTAGTCTGGAAAAATTCTCCAAAATCAGCTATAGTCACAGCTTGGCTACGTTGTCTTAGTTCTACTGTTGAAATTAATTCTTAAAAATTCGGAGTTTAGTGAACAACCCAGTATGATCGGCCTAATTAAGAGTTCTGTAAAATATATTTTAATCATAAAAATAATACACTTGTAGAATGGTTAATTGAGCTAACTTTCCAGTTGAAAAATAAGGTCTTCAGATTAATTCTATTGGCTTCAATTGGGTCCCGGGCAAAGAGCCCCAATATCCTAAAGTAGAGACTGACCATCTAAAGCAGGGGTCCTCAAACTCCAGCCCCCCAGATGTTGCTGAATTACAACTCCCATGATTCTTTGAATTACATAGATAGCCAGAGAATCATGGGAGTTGTAGTTCAGCAACATCTGGGGGGCCGGAGTTTGAGAACCCCTGATCTAAAGGGATGCACTATCGGGTCCAGAAATGAAAGATTACATAAACATAGAAACTGAAAGTTTAATCCATTTGGAATAATTAAATGACAGTTGAACGGTGACAAAAAAATAAAAAATAAAAAACAATGTGCACATTTTATGAGGCTATCTTTATCATAAGTAATTCTATTAAACACTGACATATTATGAATTCAAAGTGAATTCCAAATTCTAAGGCAATCTTAGAAATATTATTAAAGTCAGCCATGTCCATGCAATTAACATAGATAGATATTACATCAGCTTTATAACACCCAGTATAATAAGCTCATTTCTGGACATAACTAGCTGGTGAACAAGTACGACAATGTATCCTCTATAAGAAATGTAGTAAACAAGAAAAAAAAAAAAAGACAAGAACGGGTGGGTGAGGGGGGTATGACGGGTATAGTGTACAATTGAATGGGAGGACCGATGATTTCAGTTGAGTTATTATGGCCTAGAATTTTATATCCATTTTAGATTTCCGACGATTCCAATTTTTTGGTAATAAGCACGTCAATCTGATAACAGCGGCAGTATGATAAATGCGCTAATCTTTTTTCCATAACCACGTTTTTCAGCTTTATTTATAAATCATTTTTAGACGTAGACCTGATAAGAAAAGTTTAGACTGTCTTCTGAGATGTATGAGGGCTCCCAGTGACCGTATCAGTTTAATAAACACATTTCGCAGGGTTTGGCCAACCCGTCAGGCTGAGAAAATACAGATTCCAGGCGTCCTATGCTGTGTTTATGATTGCAGAGCACCCTGACTGCAATCCATAAACTCTGCTCCGCACATACAATTTGTAATTACTAAGAGGCGCACACAGCCCCGTGCTAGTGAAAGTATACAGATTGCAATCTTTTTTATTTTTGGCTCCTATCGTTTGTGGCTGGCTCATACGTTTTCGAAAACCTAATTTATCTGTTTTAATATTCCCAAACAGAGCAATACATTGAAAAGGAATTGTAACGGATACTCAGTCCTAACTCAGCATGTCTGATCCCCCCAGGCAGGGTGGGTCTATAGAAGTCTTGCAGAGAGATCTGGAACTCATAGAAAGCCAATCAGGGCTTACTTTCCCAGGAGACACTGAGGAATTTCTGCACAAACTCTGTTAGATGCTATTAGACCGAGCAATCCATTAGATTGTCAGCTCTTGTGGTGCAGGGAACTGAACATTCCATCCTGGATGTGAATTTAATGTCAGAAATTGAGAAGACAAAATGAACTAATGAATTGTAATCAATTTAAACTAGAAACTAGAAAATTAAGTTAGCGTACAAACTATTTCTCTGCAAACGAACATTTTGAAATGATTTAAAAAAAATTTGATTTGATTTAGACTCCATTTCATTTTGTCGGAGGAAAGCATAATTTGTTTTCCTAAAATCAAAGAGGGAAAAACATTTTTTCCCCCCAATATGCAGGCAACATCTAAAGTTCCAAGTCTGTATTATAACTCCAAGGAAGGTCAGCCATAACAACATCCCAGTTGCACCTCAAGCAGGCAGCCATTGATCAATAACCATGAAGCTTGCCATAAACCCTAACCCTATACATCTCCTCCAATAGGGGTACAATTAAATAGGGAAACTATTTTTTAGGCACTGCAACTCCCATCATTTAGGACTACAACTACCATTAACTCACACTAAACCTAGTCGGCTGAAGGCTAGAATGAGTTATACCACATATTGGGCTTAGGGCATTCCAGTTACCACCGATCCACAAAATGTTCCAACTACCACCCAAATAAATAAGTAGCTACAACACACATCATGCTCAGCCAGCCAGCTTGGCACTGCAGACTACAGAGCTCATCAGGAAAATCTGCCTGTCCCTGCCCTCCAAAATAGGGAATAAACACTGCTTACAAGGCTTGTGGGGAGAGAGTAAGGGTTTACCCAAATAATGCCAAGGTTAGAATAAACAATTTAACCCTTTGTGAGTATTGGAGGGCATCGTAGACTCTTTGTACTGAGAGGATGAAGAGGGGGCAGTAGGAAGTTATTAATGTTCCTCCCCCCTAAGTTATTTATCCACAGTGCATATAAACAGGGAGAATTACTCTCTGACAGCCAAAGGGTTAATACAGGATGGCACACATGGCATTGTATGGGTGCAGTGGGCAGAGGTTTAAATGCCCACTATGTGCAGAGCATCCCACCATATAGGGAGGCAGGCTGGGCTGCACATCTGGATCCAGTTAGCGGTTACTTCGCTAATTAGCCGTCCTGTACTGGGGGGCAAGAGCAAAAAGAATAGCCACGCTGGCACAGAAGCCCCCACCCCTAATGCCCACTGCTGGGTGATCCTGCCCTCCCCCACCCCCCCCCAATGATTTGGGTTATCCCCAAATTCCAAAGAACTTACCAAGACTGTGCGCTGTATCCCAAAATCAGACTGCTCTCTCTGTCCTCTCCCTGCAAAATCCCTCATCTGCTAAAGTCAACCTCTAAATGGGACCCCCCCCTCAGCACTAACCCCTGCCCCACCCCCTCCCCCCAACTCCCCAGCTCTTAAAGGGACCGACAGGCAAAGACAAATGTGGGATCTTAAAAAGGAGGAAAACATATTTAATAACTGGATTTAGAAAGAGAAAAAAAAAAAAGTTTAGGATTTTAGATCTGCCTAGCTAATGACCATCTAATGGCCAACAGATTTGGGACATTAAACAGTGCCCAGTGAATAACAAAGCAGTTTATCAAAAAGAAGACATCTTTAAAAAATAAAATAAAAATCTATGTCAACTTATAAAACAATTTTATAGAAAATACTTTCATATTTGATTTACAGGAAAAACTCAAAGAATAAAGGACTAAATAATAAAATATACAAATTTATAGCAGATAAATATTAAATAACTAATAAATAAATAAAGAATGTTTAGAACTTGGCTAGAATATTTAGAAGTTGTGTTTGTCTGCCTGTCTGTACTGGCATTGCCAGGGCATAGCATGCAGATTAGTGCAGAATGTATGTATAGAATTATAGAATTAAAGCCAGGGCACCATTGTTCAGAAGACACCTTGAACAAACCCTGCGCAACTCACTCCAGTAAATGCTTCAGTTTAATGTTTACAGGAGTCCAGAGAAATGTCAGTTCTGCTTTAAAGGGACACTATAGGCACCCAGACAACTTCATCTCATTGAAGTGGTCCTGGTGCAGTGTCCATGTCTCACTTAGTCCTGCAATGACAATCCGAGTAGTGTTAAAGAAACTGCAATAATTATATTGCAGGACTAAGACTGCCTCTAGTGGCTATCAGGTGATGGTGGCTAACCAACTTCAGGTCTCCTGACACCTAACGTCCTCACGCTCTACATGAGGACATCCAGTGTCAGAGAAAACCCCATTTGGAAAGCTTTTAGGCAATGCTTTCCAATGGGGAGGGTTTAATGCACTCGCCGCGCATGCACATTAGGCCCCCCTCAACCAGTCAGATGACATTGGTGCGGGTGGAGTGCCGAGGGAGCACGGCACTGGAATCGAATGAGTACAAAAAAAAAAGTGTTAAAAATAAAATAAAAAAATAAACATTTCCAATGCCGGGGTGGGGGCCCCAGAGGGCTCCATGGTGTAAGGAACAACTTTGTATGCCTTGTTATAGAATCCCTTTACATCCCTCTAGAATGAAAGCTCATTGAGCAGGGCCCTCCACTTCTCTGTTCCTGTACGCCCAGTTGTCTGGTTAAAATTACATGTCTGTTAGTCCACCCATTGTACAGCGCTACGGAATGTGATGGATGCTATATAAATAATAAAATAATAATAAAGGGAATTGAAAATTTTGTCCTAAAATAACCAAGATGGAAAAATAGAAATGCCAGCTTTTCAGGCCACATCGAGAGTTAAAGGTTTACTCCAAGCACCATAACTACTTCAGTGATTTGAAGTAGTTATTGAGCCTGGAGTCTGAAATGCTGCACATATGACGTTTAAGCAATTTGCTGCCAGTGTTGTAACTCATCCTACGTTGTTGGCGTGTCAATGGCTGGCTAATGTCAATTCTGTGCATATTGTTCATCTGACATCAGCATGCTGGGGACTGGTCTCCAATGGCGTCATGACCCCCCTCCATGCAACGCATGTCCTCCTGCTACATTCCTATCAGTTAGGGAGAGTGACATCGGCAGAGGAGGATCAGGCTGAGGTGTGTTAAAAAACAAACATTAAATACACATATCCAGAATAGAAAAAATAAACAATTTTACCATTAATGCCCAGATCCTATTAGAAATTCCTCAGAGAGTATTACATTGGATTTTAGACCATCCTTGTCACTTTTTTGTTGTCTGTTTTAAACATTAATACTAATGAAAGCTTGCACAAGGAACAAAGCGTGTACATTGTGTGTACCAAGTAATGTAAAGTGTATTTCACATTTTAATGTAGGCTTGCTACAGAGTCCAAATAGTCCTCTCACATGTCCTGCGCTAGTGATGTCTGAGTTCTGAGTGGTTATGGTTCTAGGTTACACCGCAGCTCTAAAAGTGAGATTTCCTCTGGATAATGTAGACCAGGAATGCCAGACAGGTCAATCCTCTAATATTGAAGTACATCTGCCACGATTCTTTGCCCACCATGACACCGATAGTGTTGGCGGATGGCCACTCTAAGGTACAGGTTGGATAAGAAATGAGAGTTCCTCTAAACATGGCTTTGGAGAAGGTCAGAGAAGGGACAATTACACAGCCCCTCCAATAACACACCAGATTACATTCCTTAGCACCCATTTTTAAAAATCTGTCTTTAGTTATAAAAAAAACCACGAGGAATAAACACGAGAAAGAGGAACGTGAATACATCAACATGCTATTGTCTCCTTTGCAGGTCTGATAGTGTATCCCAACGCTTCACTCTTTATGGAATTTTTCAGCCATTTACTAATTGTTACTGCAGTGCTGGCAGCAGTGATGAGTCTGTCCTTGTGGGTAGCTGGGGCACAGGGCAAAGGATGGCCTTGCTGTTTTGTTCTTCTCTAAGTGTGCAGTGTGCTCGAATTGATGGGTACAGTTTATTAAACCCTATTACTGGTCCCAGAGTCAGGAAGATTTTACAGTCCCTAAATGGCCATATGTTTTGTGATTATAGTATGAACACTTACAAAATGTTTTGGAACGTTCAGTAAAAAGTGATTAATGCTTCCAAAAAATGAGAAGCATTTCTCCAGTATCTCCGTAGCCTTGAAGCAGACCTACCTCTGAAGATTTGGCACAGCCATCGCATGTTGATGGAGGAAGAGAACGTAAGCTTTAGCACAGCAGTATACTGTAATTACATATCATGTTCTCAGAGATCGAATACATTGATACCTTAATGCATCATAGATTTTATGAAGAGTCAGGAATAAATTATTCTTAATTACATTCAAGTGTATTACATGGTTAAAAGCTATGCGGTCACCTACTTATCAATATTTCATTCCAAAACGAGTCATTAACATGGGAACTGTGTTTTCTTTGCATCTACCCAAAATGACATTTCAGACAAGGAGGCTTTCTAAAAATGCTAACAAAATGTTCAACTAATGTGTATATTAAGTCCCACATACAGTAAAACCAGTTAAACCAAGCACCTGTACTGTACTGGGTATTACAGTCAGGTATTTCAGCCTGTAAATAGTAGTATACAAATTGCATCTGACTGCTAGAATCCCTTAGAGACATTGGCTACTGACGTTGGTCAGTTTCGCTTTTCTTGTAGCTATGCCAGTCTGAGGTCAAGGTGTCAAACCCTTCCACACCCACCTTGGTAAGCCATTTCTGTGTGTACCTCACCTTTTGGGGAGGGGGGCTATACTTCTTCCAAAATGCCTCCTTCTGTATATGAATTAATGAGGAGATTATTATCTCAGGAAGTATCACTGCCATTGAAGTACTTCTCTACAGCCATTGTTGTGAGAAAATGTAAGCTAGGGAATTTGCATATTTTTGTATGGCTCACCGTATGTTGAATGATGTGATGTTGGAAGTTAGTCCTTGTGGTGAATAAAGTATTTTGGGTCTTCTTACACTCCTGAACTGGAGTCTTCTCTCTTATTTGGGTGGACATGGTGACAGAGTCTGTGGACCTATTTCTTGAAAGCTTAATCGCTTGGGCCTGGGAGGCAAACATGTCTTTGTAAAACCTGTGTCGGGAGCACTAAGAGGATCAATTTTTTCCTACAAGAAGAAGCAGTCAGAAGAGGTGATATCTGCCTTTGCGTGGAGGAAAAGACCTTACCCTGAAGAATTGTGGTGCTGGACTTTGGGAAGATGTCGTAGTGGGACAGGTCTGGATCCCAAGCTGGGACAATTGTACCCTGTTCCAATTACAGCCGCATTCTACATAAGAATGTCCCAGGCATTCTGTTCAGCAGAGGAGACAGTTCTATACCCGATCTGCTGGGAGTACTGCTTTTTGCATAAATTCATTGTATGCACTTCCAAATCTCAATAAACTAAACACGTATCATTAGCAGGGAGTTTTATTTCAAAAACAGCTCACCTGGTGACTGAAAATTACAACTGAGAATGCATCTAAGAGATGAACTTAAGAAAAACTTAAAGGTAATAGAAACAGACAGGATGGAAGGACAAACTAAATGACATTGACAGCAGGATAGACTCAGTGACACTGACTGACAGCAGAACAGACATTGTGACAGTGAATGACAACAGGTAAAACACAGGGACATTGATTGACAGCAGGTAAGACACAGAGACACTTATAGACAGCAGATAAGACACAGGAAAACTAAGTGACAGCAGATAAAAAAAAAAATGCACAATGACCCCAGATTAAGCATATAAAGGAATAATAAACCTGATCTCTTTCAGTGTGATGATCATTCCTTTGTTGTGACACCTGAAGCATTCTTTTAATGCCCCATCTCAACGGGTGACAGAGTTTTGACTCGCTCTCTTCTCTTTGTCAAATTAAAAGTTGTCATCCACCTAGTTAAAAGAACACTCACAAAATCAGTTTGAAGTGCACAGATCCATAAGGCTCGCCCAATTTGAGGTGCACTGTTCCATGACTGAATGACAGCACGGCAGACCGTGACACTGAGACAGATTGTAAGTGCTAAATACAGTTTGGTTTCATTGCCCATTTAAGGGGCATTATATTTTATGGTCAATATCCTTTTAAACAAACGCAGCCTTCTCTACCTTCTTTTTAACAAGTAATTCTCACACTGCTTTCTAGAATAACAGGTTTTGCAAAATTTCACAAAGAAGCCATTCTGTATATGGGACCTTTCTCTAACACTACTAAACCCCTGGGCCACAGACGCCATATTTAAAATCCTAAATGCCCATAAAAAAGATAAATTAAACAGGTATAAGGGGGAGGGAATGGATTTAAAAGTATTGGAGCGGAACTTTGCAATTAAATAGTGTAATCAGTGTGTGTTTGCTCATCAGTTCATGGGCTAAGACGGGTCCCTGAGAGTTACACAGGTCTGCTAGGGGCAATTAATTAATGCTGCCCCTATAAAAAGAATTCCCATCAAACCCTTTTACTGCCAAGGCAGCATAATAGCCATATTCATATAAGAATAAAAAATCTAGTGCAGTGTGAAAACTTTTTGGTAACAAATGTTCAAAGCAGATTCATTGTCTATCTCCCCACACATGGGGCTTCCCATCGCAGCAATGTCCAATCAGATGAAGAGCTTTGCTCAGTACTTTGTGCAACTTTAGATTGAAATCCCACTTCTTCCACCAACTCTGCAGTTTTCCTGAAAGGTGTTGGAGGAGAGTTGCATCATATAGGATTCATCCTCTGTGGCAGTGATCTGTTGAATGACCACACGTGGGTAAATCTCATGCTTCAATCCTGCGTAGGCTGGAGCGGTTAATGGAGTCTCTGTAAATGTGAGAACGACAGAATAAATTCCCCTGTAAGGATATGTCTGTATAATTAATATACTCGTAAGTAAAAGAGGAAAATGGCACTCTGCATAAATCCAAAATGTACGAAAAAGTTAAAGAAGAAGCTACATATTAGCATGGGTTTATTTGTGCAAAAAGACATGGCTATAAAGTAAACACCAAACATGTATACAAATGGACCCAACATAAAATATGTGAAATCAAGTCCGTACACCTGTGGGAAGCAGGGGAAACAAAATATAACCTAATGGGACACAGGACGTGTAGAATATTCTATTCACCTGGCGCTGGTGTGAGGCAGCAGGTCGCTGTATAGCTGTGGGATCTTGCGAGATGTTAAAGGGTTGAGTGCCTCCCTCAGTCGCAGGTAATTCCTCTCGAGCTCCCTTTGATATTCCCGCTGGTCCGCACCAATAAGACTTTTGTTCTTTCGCAAGGCATCCTCACAGCTAGAAGCAGAAAGAGAAGTTGTTTAATACTCAGTGTAAATGCATGTTACAGGAACGTAAAGTGTGACACATCTACATATCCTTCTGTGGGATGGGAGCGATCATGTTTTTCGTGTTCATTTTTATAGGTCCATTTCCTGTCCTTAACCAAGCATATCACGTCCTACTGCCCTATTCTATACCCATATTCTCTCTGTAGAGACACCCGATGCTCCTTCTTCTGTATCCTACGTAGTAAACTATCTGTACCCACACCTTCTTAAAGAGACGTTCCAGTCTCATAAGGTACATTGACATGCTGAAGTGTTTAATGTGTGAAAAGTCTATCCTATTATAATTTTAAAAAGTGCAGATTGCAATAGGAATTGGCACTTTTAAAAGCATTTAACACCCCACCACCAGTAGGGTCTGTTATTTCCTGATTTGGTTTGCACAGTGGTGCCCAGAGCACCTGCCTTGCAAAGACCTCTCATTGAGCTGCATTAGGAAGTCTGTGATTGGACAGCCACAGAAAGTCTGGGCTGTTATACCCCAATAAAAAATCATAATTAGTATATTTAAACTATATATATATTTTTTTTAAGTTTGGCTAATGGAGTGTCCACACTACAATACCCATGTGTACTTCTACCCATACCTCTTTGTGAAATCTCTGAAACAGAGGCGCAACTTGTTGTGGAGTCGGTATAGACGTGGGTCTTCTGGAATCTCCGCCAAAAACACCTGAGCGACCTCAAGGGGACCCTGGGACAAGAGGCACATTAGAACCCACTCAAGGCAATGTCAGTTTTAAGACACACAGCACGAGCATCTCTTCTATATATCTGCAGACACTGTCACAGTGCTGTGTTTCACAAATTATTTTAATAAATCATCCTCAGTATGATAAATACTGCAGACAGGAGGTGCCAAACCCTGTGCAACACAAACACTAATGGAAGAGCTTAGCTTGCTGGCTAGATACACACGCGTTTCTCATATAAACTGCATTGGCACCAATGCCAGCAGAAATGTTACGCCAGGATACATCAAGTATAAATAAAATGATGTTCCCTTTGTGCTTGAAAGACACATTGCCAAGTTATTATTGCAAAATAGGAGTTGTCACTGGCATACACGGCAGGGTAGGCTTACAATTACTGTGTCTTTTCTGTGTTGAAATGTTTTAAAACACCAAAGCACTAAATAAATTAATTTTTTTTAAATTTCTTATGTACATTTTTCAACCCAGACTTTTGTAATTTCTCTGAAGAGGATTTAAACTTTGAAATACATTCAGTTTCAGTCAGTTGTCATGGCACACTGGATGGCATTGAAGTACCTGGTACATACAATA